AAAACAACTGTCAGGAATTTTTATAGCAATTGACTATCATGATTTATTCCAATTTATTTATATATAAATTGAAAAAAGTAAAAGGGATGTTTCAAACTTAACTACCAATAAATACAATACCTTATACAATACCAATACTTATAAATAATATACCTTAACTACCAATCTTTTGACCAAAAAAAAAAAAATTACATAAAAAGAAAAAAATAATAAAAAAAAAATGTTAAAATACACTTTTATCTTTAGTAACATTAAAAAATGTTTATGATTCATTTTATTATTAGTATTTTAATGTATATATGTAAATTAAGAAAAACCAAAGGGTTTCAAGCTAAATTACCAATCTTTTAGCAAGAAAAAAAAAGTTAACTAAAAAGAGAAATAGATAAATAAGAAATTTGTAAAACACACTTTTATCTGTAGTAACATTTTAGAATTTCAGTAATAACTAATTATTTATTACTAAATGATAGTTATCATGATTTATTTCAATTTATGTATATGTAAATCAAGGAAAACCATAAGTTTCAATCTAAACTATCAATTTTTTGGGTAAAAGAAAAAATTTAAGTGAAAGTGATCATAAAAAGATTTCAAAATACACTTCTATCTTTAGTAAAATTCAAGAATTTTTGTAATCAATCTATAAATATGAAGAGTATCATGATTTATTTGAATTTATTTATATGTAAATTAAATAAAACCCAATGTGTGTGTGTGTGTTTCCAGATAAGGATTACTAGTATAGTATCAGATGTCGAAAATTTGTCCATGTTTATCATCAAGGATAAATCATATTTATATATATATATGTATATGTATTTGTATATAAGATATACATCTATATATATATATATATATCCGAATTTAGGAAAAGTAGGGTAATCTAAAGGGAACACTACACAACACCAGTTGGATAAAAGTGGAATAAAGCTGAAGAGAAAAGAGAGATAGAAAAGTGGTTACTACGATGTAGAAAATAGAAAAAGTAGGGCGTCTATCTAGGATTAATATAAATTTACTTGATGGTCCGCAATTTAGAAAATTAATGGCTGTCAGTTTAATCAATCATATCATATATACACAAATATTCATATATGTGTATATATGTATACGTATATTCAATATATTTTTATATATATAATATATTTATATATTATAATAAATATATGTATAAGTATACTTGAAATAAACATATAAAAACTATATATACCTATATATATATATATTTATGTATGATATTATTTTAATTATACTTATATGTATAGAAATATATAGATGTATGCTTGTATATAAAAATTTATACGATTATATGCATATGTGTATGTGTGTGCTATTAATATTGTATTTATATTTATTATTTATATTATACATATGTTTTTAACAGACCAATACAAAATGATATATGCACCGGAAATAATTCACATACACGGATTAATAAATATTTTTGATCTTTTATTTATTTTTTTATTTATTTATTTATTTACTTATTTAATGAAACGCAGATTAAATCTGTTCAATTTTCAAATTAGGTATTTGTTCTTGAACAAAAAAAAAAAAAGAAATGAAAAACCAAATCTACTTCAATTTTGGATAATGCACTAACACAAAAAATAAAACAAAAATCACGTGCTACCAAATATACAAGATAAAATTTGTAAGAATCCTGTTAAAAAAAATTCTATGAGTTACATCATCAAGTAAGAGTAAAATCATTAAAAAACAAAAAAAAAGAATCAATTCAATTATACGAATAAACAATATTTATTCGATCTTCAACACGTGTCAAAAGAATAACATATGCTTTGAGATTTTCAAACGGGACAGGAGAAGAAGCAGGAGGAAGAAGAGGAGGAAGGGGGAGGAAGGGGGAGGGTAAATGATGCGTTATTTCGTCAAGGATTAAGAACATAAAGGCAAACGATTTTCTTTCGAAGGGTGCTACAAGAGTAGTAGTAGTAGTAGTAGTACTCGAATAAACTAAATGATACAGGTTGTTGAGTGTTGAATGCCATGAAAAAATACTTGGAATGAAACGTGTCAGGGATTTTCTATAGTAACATCCACGAGAAAATAATTCTAACAAATCCCTAAGTGAAAAAAAAAAAAAAGAAGAAATAACATTCTTCAATGCATGCAAACTTGTATTTTAAATCTTTCGTTGTTTATATTATTATTATTATTATCTTAGTTCATTGTGAAAATATGTTTTAATATTTGTACAAAAATTCTCTACTGTATATTATATATATATATATATATATACTGTATATAAATTAAAAATATATAATTTATACTAGTAATTTATATATATATTTTTTATATACATTTTTATATAAATTACTATACTATTATATAAAATACGAAAAAACCATCGGTACAAAATAAAATAATATAAACGTACTCAGAGATACATCTACGTAAAAAACAAAACCAAAAAAAAAAAAAGAAAAAGAAAATACAAACGGGATAGAAAAAAAAAGAAAGAGAGGGGGTGGATAAATGTATGAGAAAGAAAGAGAGAAAGAATGAAAGAAAGAAAACAAGTAAAAAGAAAAGAAATGGGATGAACGAAAGGACAGGGATGAAGGGTGGGAATGAAATGAAAGAATAGAAAAGGGATGAAAGTTAAAGTCGTAGTGGTGATGGTGGTGGTAATGTGAGGGAAGGGGATAAATCTGTTAGTTGATATATACAGGAGGATGCGCAAGGTACAGATAGGAATGCGCAAGCGCGGGACAATTTAAATCCTAGAAGGTTACAAGAGAGATTGTGTGTATGTATATGTGTAAAAAGTTGAATACTAATACACAATGATGAAAAAGAAGATATATAAATGTACATATAGTAAAGCATATACATAGATATACAGTTTTCAGTGTACACATACAGACAAGTAGATCAGAGAAACGGGTAGTGGTGATGGTAGTGGTGGTGGTGGTGGTGGTGGTGGTGGTTTCCGCGCAATCAAGAGGTAGGGGGGTGCTTTAGGAAGAGGTTTCACTATGGTAACCATAGTAACGGCACGTAACACCGCCCACAGCCCTCAGGCTGTCTTGTCCGATGTGTTTGCTCGATGATTTTATAACAATTACGGTCTATCCCCCGTATTATTGCCTATATATGCCTACTACCCCCTTTCCTTCTCTAGGGATGGTGGTGGGGAATGTCACATCTTTTGCACACACATTTATAGAAATACTTATATATATATATTTATATTTATATACTTATATTTATATTTATATTTATATATATATTATTTAATTTATACAATTAATCTTATTATATATATAATCAACCCCTTCTCATGTTCATCCTCATCATTATCATCATCATCATCATTCTCCTCATTCTCCTCCTACTTCTCATTCTCGTCTACGATGAGAAGAAGAAACTACGAGACACTTGTCCTTCCATAAGGGAAACCCTACACAACCCTAATAATAAGTATAATACTTAACACTAGAAAATAACGCCAATTAGGTATATTTTCATTTTGTATTTCGTTCTTTATTGATAACAAAAAAATTACTTAACAATAATGATTTATTCCTCACACATCATTATATTAAATAAATGTTAGGAACATCACTTTACAAATTGTTAAATTCATTTGAAAATACGTCAAAACTTTATGCAATGATTTAATAATAAATTAAAATTATTATATAAGTCAATTATTATTGTGTGAAATAATTATTATTTATAGGTATCTTATTAAAAATATTATAATTTACTGATTTAATAATTCTCATTCCTATAAAATTGAAAAAAAGAAAATAACTATTACAATATGCCAATATTATAATAGATTTAAAAACAAAAAAATTGAAATCAAAATCATCATCTCAGTAATGTTATAATATTTTTTTCAATTGTCACACATTATATTAAAAAAATCAGAACTATCATCATCGTTAACAATTTATCAACAACCCCCTTTGATTAAGACTTTTGACTGTAATTTTTCCTGTCAATTTCTTGTTCTTTCCTTTTTGTTTATTTTATCTTGTAATACTGTTCTGAAACGGATTGTTACACGAAAAATTACAATAATTTTATTAAATAGATAATTAGAAAATTTTATTTTCAATAACATTCCTTCGTATGACTTATATTACACTTATAATTACGAAATACATGAAAATAATGAAACGGTAATGGCGAATGAAGGGGTGGAAATTTATAAAAAGTCAATATTTTATACAATTTATAAAGTCTTACTGGTTTTTACCAACTTGTGTCCGTAATTTAGTTATTTTTTTTTTTCTTTCTTTCTTCGTATTATTTCTTTTTGTTTTTTTTTTTTTTGGTTCTTTTCTATAATTAACTTAATAGAAAAATATATATATATATATATAAATATGTAAAAATTCAAAGACAAAGTTAGAACGATAGGATTGATAAATAATATTTGACAAATAACGTAAATATTTGTTTAAAAAAAAAGGATAATCTTATAATTAAATATACATTATTTATTAATAATAAAGTTTACTTAATTAATATGAGACTAGGTAATTCGTGAAATTATTATTATTTTTATAATAATTATTATTAAGAATACTGCAATCCTTAATATCTAATTTAATCTACGAATAATACGTATCATCGAAATTAAAAAGTAATGTACCTCTTCCTTTTTTTTCTTTTTTTCTTCTTTTTTTGTATTCTCCTAACTTTTAACATAATTAAACAAATATTTGCACGTAAAGATAATTAAACTCGTATCAAGAATTTGTGTTGTATCGATGTGAAAAATAAGGTACACAGAGCGACATCTGATAACGATGTCGCGAATCAAAGCTATCGATATAAAAGAAAAAAAAAACTTATATGGCGGGAAAATTTGAAAAGCCCACGCTAATAACTTTATGAAAAATACACAAAACAAACAGAGAAAATAGAAAAATGACAAAAGTATTATAAATATTTCCAAAACAAAAAGAAAATACGAAAGTCTTAAAATATTATTTTTACTATAAATGATACGACGACTTATGTAAATATATATATATATATGTATATATATAAATTAATAATGAATTTGTTGATCGTGAAAGTGCAAATTAAGTACAAATTAATGGTAATATAATTTGAAATGAAAATATATCATCGTCAAAATTTGGACAATGCTTCGTGATACGTTCCATAACTAATTTCCTTGTTCTTCGTATTAGAATCTTCGTTAAGATTGTCATTGCCGGAATACATAGAAAATCCACGACGAGATAATTCTTCACCTGGCACGATTGTTGGATTTGTATAACAAAAATCTGCCATCATGTTTGTCTGTCTGCCCAATTGGTTCGACCTGAATCAATCATCAATATCACACTTATCACATTTTAAAAAATTATTTCGTAATACGTTAATCAAAATCATTTATCAAATACATAAGTTTAGAATATATCTACGATCGCACACACGTTGAGATAATTAATTATTATTATTATTACCAGATTATTATTATATTTGGAGCAGTGTGCTAATTTTCTTTTAGAAGAAACAAAAAAGAAACATAAAAGTCACAGATAAGCGTGAAAGAACAATCATGTCACGACCGATGTTATAAAAGATACGCTATCAATGATTAATCGTCAACGTTATTAGCGAAATTCCATAACGATGATAAGTCTAAAAAAAGATGACAAAAAAAAGAGAAGGAAAAATATTTTCGGATATTTACTTTTTTTATATTATTCCCTAATAGCACAAAATATATTGAAAAATCTTGAATACATGTGTATTTAATATTTTGTGCTAATAGGGTTGTTTTTCTTTTGTTTCTGCTATTTTTCCTTTTCTGACTTTTTCAATAGTTTACGCATTTTGTTTATTTATCTAAAATATTTCTATATCTTTGTCTATCTCTCTGTTTCTAATTTTCTTCGTACCTTTCTCGTCCTCTTGATTGGACGCGTCGTAGATCAAGTATAGATGTAGATAATTCCGCCAAAATGAAACTCCGGGTATGCCACTAACACGACGGTTTTTTATAGTCAGATAACTATGTTCTTTTTTTTTTTATAATACTTTTTTTGAATCCCTTGCACTTTCATCAAATCGATTAAAAAAAAAAAAAAAACAAACAAACAAACCGTGCGTTTCATAAAGATTATTATTTATATTAAATAAATATAAATCATGTTCAATTTTATTAGTTTACTTAGTCCACTGTTATATTGACTAAGTTTTTTTCATTCACATTAATTGGTTCACGTAGTAACATCTCATATTTCAAAAAGAAAGAGAAGAAAAAGAAAATGAGAACAGTCTGTTAATGTGGATTAAAATATCACACCGTATTACTGATAAGATCGAAATACTTGCAACAACTTCATGAGAAAAAACGCGTGAATTATTTAAAAGTGCAAGAGGTTTTTCAAACGGGAAAATAAAATATTTAGAAACGAAATTTTGTTTTCTTTTTTTGTTTGTTTTTTTTTTTACATTTTTAACCCCCTTTCCTTATCTTATATACTAATAAATAAACTGATAGATATATCTCTCTTTCTCTTTGATGAAAATAAATCCATTTTGAAAGAAAAAAAAAAAAGAAATACATTAATATATTACTTACTCCGCTTTAGAAAGACTTTTGATTTTCCAATAAAAAATGGCAAGTAAAGAGAACGTCAACAGATGTAGACTCAATCCGATCCCACAGGCTATGTAAAAGTACAGAGACAAATCTTCTAAGGTGTCCTATAATAAAAAAGAAAAAAAAAAGAAAAAGAAAACAAAGCATATCGATTCGATAAATTGATAAAAATCGGTGAGAGTTTTATTTAATTGATTCATGGCATAAGAATATTATTCTTCAATTAAAAAAGATATATTTATCGTGTATTTTACACAACCTACGCGTGGCATCGATTAACGAAAGTATTTCATGCATAATGAACGTTCTTATGAAATCTTTCTTCGATTATTTCAAGAAGGAGAAAATGAAAATGTTTCTGATCCTTTTAAATGCGTCATTTACGAATATGAACTTTGTTTTTTTAATTAAACGAAACGTACAAGAAAAACAAAACAAACACTGCAATGCGTTTGCGTGTACTCTGATTACTTCTTGTTTTCTTTTTCTTTTTTGTAATATAAAATAATGACTTGCATAAAATTCGATCTTGAGAATAACATATACATTTGTAAATAATAATTCTCGTCATTTAAAAAAAAAAACAAAAAACAAACTCCATTAAATTCCTCTAATTCGAAAAATTCGAAAAAAAAAGAGAAAAAAACGCCGGAAATTTCGCCGTTCTTCCCGTTACGATCTACCACACGAATCAAAATAAATAAATACTCGTTTAAATTACAAATATTTTCTCTGTCATTTGACAGATCGAAATATATTTAATATTAATCTCGTGTGTTTTTGTTTTTTGTGTCTATGATTTGTAAATAAATAAAAAAAATGACGCATTGACGATATTTTATCCGTAGTTTTGCATTTTATTCGCAAATTTTCTCAACAAAGGGCCAAGGATGATGATTCATTGAGATTCTACATTTGCTGTTAGGAGTTCTTGGAAATGGAATAATTCACGACGTAAACATTTACCGCGAAGGAAAGGTATTCTAAGCATGGATTCTAAGCATGAAACGTCTTGCATGGTAATGCACCTCTAATTACATCTCGGACAACGTCCTAATAATAATAATAATAAAGATAATAGAATATTAATATTAAACGAATGCACTAATGAATTAACTAACATTGACAAATTTATCTTTCACAACTCGGATAATTTTCCACATAAATATATATATATACGCATATAATATTCCTCGCGATAACGAGACACATCACACTGTGTTTCTGCATTGCAGAGAAAAATATTTATTAAGAAAAAATATATATAAATATAAAAAGACGTGATTAACATTAAAAAAAAAAAAAAAAACTTACCATTCCAAATTAGAAATGATCAATAACAGTAAGAAAGAGAGAGAGAGAGAGAGAGAATGTCGCGATGCGGTGACGTATCCTTAACGTGTAAATTGATGATCGTAATCAAGATATCAGTATCAAGCTGTTATCGTTGACTTTGCATCCTCTATAATCGAGTAACATTCTCAAGAAATAATATTACTAATTATTTAATTAACTAAAACGTTTGTTTTTTTATTCCTCTCTTTATGGTTTCACACTTTTGTTCAACTTTTCAATATTCCCCCGAAGAAAAATAATAAAAAATGATGTAAGAGAAAAAAAAGACAAAATAATATACAGAGATAAGAGAGGAACCAACAAAAAAAATCAATCTCTCGTTGAAGAAGTTGATTGGAACAAGCAATGAATTAGTATTGTTATCTATCGAATCGAGTTTTTGTCGTTTTTGATCGATGATATATCTTGGATAGGTGAAATGTCGTTAGAAATAAGAGGAGAACAACTGAGCGGGAGCACGCACGATAAAGTAATAAAGTACGCTGCTAACGGCGACGCCCGTCGTCGAACAAGTAACGCTGATAAAGACCCTCCTCCTCCGATCCACGGTATCTACATAGTAGCTACCTTTGTCGCAACATACGGGAGTCATATGTTTACACACACGTTTGCATAAATGTATATGTATAATGTGTACATATATATATAGTATACAACTTTATCGATGAACAATATGTATGTGTATACATAAGAGCTCTTGTTGGGTAGCATTTGTGTAGCTGTAATTTGTCTCTACACACTTTTCCTCCTTCTTATTTTTCTTCTTACACCTTCATACATTTCTATTTGTTACTACTTAATTTAGTAAACCTCTGTGCCTTCTTCAATCTTCCTACGCGAATCACACACTTCTTCTTCTCTTCTTTTTTAGTTGGTTAGTTAGTTAGTTACTTTCACTGTAAACTGTTATGTTATTTTCGAATTTCTCTTGTTATCAAACATATATCTTGAAGTATATTTCAGGAGTATGTAAACAACGTGAGTGTTTACTATTGTGTTCCAATGAGGTCATCCATATCTTTCCTGTATTATTTTTTTGTTAGATTCGCTCGTTAGATTATAAATATTGTATTTAAGAAATAAGAATTTTTTATATCCTTGATATATTTACATTTGTTAATAAGATAATAAAGTTTTTTTTCTTTATTTGATGTTTCATATTGAGACATTGTATATGTAGTTGTTTCTATAAATTCATTCAATGTATATCAAAATGAAGTTAATTAATAAAATAATTCTTATTATTTTCTGCTTTAAATGTATTTTAAATTAATGCTATTTTTATACAACATTAATGGTCATTTTGCTTTCCCTGATATTTGGTATTAATATAGAAAACTGCATAAGCCAATATAAGATATAAGGTAATGCCATACTTATACTTATGTATATGTAATATGGTATAGGCTGCGTAGAACCAAATGGACAAAACCACAAACCTCTTCTTGTACCATCACGAATATGATGACTTAAGAAACTTGCAGATATAATCCATGCGGATTCATTCAACTTTGGACAGTTGAAAATGATTGAATTCAAAATTAAAATGACCCATAATAAAATAGGAATTGTAGTACAATGTAGGAATGGTCTTTTGTTTAAGGTTATAGCATCCTAAAAAAAAAAAAAAAACATGACAAAAGTTAGAACGTTGATACATTTTTGGGTATTATTGATAAGATAAATATCAATGTATAAATACTTACGCTCAACTTCCAACTGCGTGCAGTTAGAAAATGATCAATGTCGATGAAAGAAGATAAAATAAATGAGAATATTATACTACATAAATGTTGTGCAAGTGACTTTTTGAATAAAACTAAAATTAATATCCATACTAAACCTCCAACAATAGCGTGAGTTAAATTGTCTAATATTGCACGTGCCATTGTATTTTCAACATATTTCAAACACATGTCACCCAAAAACGAACATATACCTATTAAACTTGTTAATGCTATTTTCAATATTACATGCCATTTGTTATATGCAATCATGTTAAATATAATAAAATTAATTATAAATGTCTATCCTATTTCTAACCTATCAAACTTAACATGGTGAATCATATAACCTAACAAAACACTTATATCAAATAAATGATTACGAGTAATTAACTTAATAAGTATTTTATAATTATTATATAATAAACTAACAATCATAATAATACATAAAGGAAAAAAATGTCAAAGTAAATTATTAAAGACACAGAATAAGTACCTTTTTTATTTTGTTCTAATCGCAGGAACTTTCATCGCATTATGTTTCCACATATGTTTGCGGGAAAGAGAAACACAAAATGAAATGAATACATTTGATATATAATTATAATGTAACTTTAATTAAATTAACTTATATTTTAATCTTCATCCTAATCGTGTTCCCTTTAAAACACATTTTCTATCTATATAAATATATAAATGTCATAATAATGCATCTTTCGATTGTCATTTGTTTGAAATTTGTATCATGGCGGCGGCGGCGGCGGCGGCGGCGTGAAGTTAGTCATAAGTGAAGTGAATTGTCTACATATATATATATATATAGTAATCGTATGTTATACCGACTGCAGAAAGTAAGCGACATATGTATTTAAATATGAAAGGGGATATCTAGTGATTCTTATTTAAGCCGTTGGTCGAGCGTGTCCAGTGCGTAAAAAGCAAGCAGAAGATATTCACCGAATGCTAAAAGTCGTGCAGATGTGTCAGAAAAATTTCATGATTGCAATACTATATTCATATAATTGTATATAGCACTCTCTCTAGTGCATGACGTTTTATCGCGAGATGGTTCCTACGTCAAGTGGTGAGCTATAATTATATATAGAGGAGAAACGGTGTTTTATCTAAACCTTATTGTAATGGTATATAATAAAAAAATATATCATTGCAAGGAATATACTATATTTCTATTTACGGATGTTTATAATTGGCATGTTTCACGGCTGTGAAAATGGAAGTGGAGAGCACAGCCAAACAGAACGACGTTGTTCAACAACGTTTAACAGATGATTCCGGAAAAGTAATTCATGAAGAAGAAAATAGAAATATTGATAATACTGATAAAGAATCCTCATCTTATTTTATATCAACCGAAAATGTAAATGATAAGTTATCTGACATGGAAACTTGTAAGTCTTATACTAACAATTCAACATTTAATGAACAAACATTACAATTACAAAAGAATCTCACGTTAGATGATCATTCAGATATGAAAAATATTAAGAAGGAACATTTAGAACATTTTTCATCCTTAGATAATAAAGATTACGATGATGAATGTAAGACTGATTCTATGGAAAAAAAGGTAGAAGATGATGATGCGAGTAACACCGTTCAAACCCCTCAACCACCGTTAGTATTTACAATTGATTTTGGTAACAACAAAGAAGTTGATAAAGTCAAATATCAAAATCTGTTTGAGCGATACAATGCAAGACACAAGCGCAATCTTTCTACGTCTAAGGTGAATACCACCTTAACGTGTTAAATAATAATGCTTGTATATCGAGTTACATTATTATTCATTTTTAGGTAGAGGTAGGCGGAAAGAAGGGAAGTGCATTAATGTCTCCCAATTTGGTACAAAAGCAAAAAATTCCTAGTACGCATTCTGAGGGTTATTTTAGCAGCGAAGACGATTTGCGTTTGGTAAAACGTAAAACTGATTCTCTGACGGAAAAGTTAAAACAACTAAGTAATTATTTTTATTCTATTTTCTTGTCTTTTTTTTTTTTTTTGTTGTTTTGTATTTTACAATTGATTTCTATTTGATAAATACATTATTACCTAACTTCAGATATCATCAAATATCTTGGTAGATATAATCTGAATAAATAGAAATAAATTATCACACCTACTTACTCTTAAAGTTTTACATCATAGTTTTAAAAGATCTATTTTTCATTGATTGCATTTCTATAGTTAGAGATCTATATATATATATATAAATTTCTGTTACATACGCATATAAGAATACTTTTATAAATTTCGATTGGTATATCACATTTGAAGTCCATATTTGTGAAGTATGAGTCATGATGAAATCATCTTTACCTGTCTTTTTAATATTCTTCACAAGTACATTCAATATGTCTTGAGTAATGCATGCCTATGAACGTATTAACGGCTTCAAAGTCATATTTGTGCACACTAAAAGATATCAATTTTTTGTAAGTTAATATAATATACATTTAATTAAATAATATCTCATTAACATTTATATATATTTGTCTTATTTTACAGGTACAAAGTGCATTCATAGAACGCATTCTCTCTCAAAAAAATCTGATATTGATTTCAAATTACGCGATGCAAAGAATAAACAAGAATTAATGACAAGATCTTGCGACGATCAAACGAAAGATCCAAAATTGGCACGTCAAAATCTTTCATTGGAACTTGATTACGGAACTAAATCAAATAACAAAGTATTTTGGACATCACAAAAATCAGCAACTATCAATGATTTAAGTCATGTAGAAGCGTGCAATTATGATGATGATTCTAATGAAAAATCATATACAAAAAATATAGAATACATTGCCGGTGATAATGAATACGATGATGATGAAGAAAATTATTATAAAACGTCAATGAATAGTTATTCTCAAAAGGCATCAAATATTAATTATAGCATAAACGATTATAATTTAGAAAATCCAAATCCGAATGATAGCAATTTGTCGAGTAGCGTTAGTTGTAACATGGATTTAAATATTAGCAATGTAAAAGAAGATACAAATTTAGATGTTTTCAATGTGAGTAACGTAGATGCTGGTTCGGATGATGGAGCAGTAAGCGAAGCTGGAACGTACACCATTCATAAAGATTATACAGATGAAGAAAAAGCTAGGATGGATATTGATAAAGTTTTCAGTGTTGGTGTATTAACGGAAGAAGAAAACAATGAATCTTATGTTCATAATTTTCAGGTAGATAATAATTGAACAAATTTATATTAAAACAATAATTCTAACGAGGAATTATTTTTATAGATGAGTATATCACGTGATAACAACACATGGATATCCGAATGGGCAACTCAAGTTGCAGAACATAATTCTTTACCTCCAGCAATTGGTGGTCCTACTGGTCGTACTCCACCCTTAAGTCCATCGAAAATACCATCTCCGATTCATTCTAAAAGTCCAAGAATGGCACGTTATCGATATGTATGTATTTTTTGATATGTATATGTGTTGTATATACAAGAAATGATTAGAAATATACTTTCTTTTTTTTTTATTTATACAGGAACCAAGCGATAACAGCAGTATGGATGCTTTACGGATAAAGGAAAGAATAGATTTAATATCAAATCAACAATTATTAATTGATTCGGGTGGTGAATCTGATGAGGACACAAGCAATAGTTATAATACACCACCACACAGTTCACAACGTACACCAGTACATAATTCTTTAGGAAGACGTAGTAGTTTGTCTGAATCTTTATTCAGAAGAGCTAATACCAATGATAATCGAAGAAGTGTTCGTAAATATTATAATTCAGATAAATCAAAGACTGAAGACGGTGGTACAGAGTTATTAAAAAGTCCGTCCCGAACATTAGCATCTCTTTACTTGGGAAGGAGAAGTAGTTCCTTGGACAGGTAATATAAATAATAAATTAACTAACATATCACAATTTATTTGTGTGAACCCTCTTTTTTCTAAATAAAAATTAATATATATATATTATTACAGAAAAGATTATACTTCTGATACTACAGAATCAAACACGTCCAGAAAAAATAGTATGAAATATTCTTCTACCAAGGATGATTCCAAACATACAAACAGTCCTGTTTTAAATCGCCTAAGGCCATCTACACCAAAATTAACAAACAGTCCAATTGTATCTCGTAAAACGTCATCTATGAAAATTATTAATTCGCCTATGCTGGAGAGAGCTAAACATTTGACAAAATCTACACCTCAAGCGAAAAATATAGGATATTTTACTTGTGTTGAAAATAGGTATTTAACAATGATTAACCTTTAATTACGTATTTTAATTTATAATACGATAATCTATGCTATGTATATATATATATATATACATTTTGTTTGTAGTCCATATATGTTAAGAAAATCAAATAGCGCTACAAATTATCACGAACGAAGTTCCATTCATAATAAAGAAATTTCTATAAGTTCTGGGATACCAAGAAATTGTCTCGAATTGCAACGACAATTAAATATACAAAGATCATCAAGTAACGCTAGCATTGGAAATTTCAAATCTCAGGCTGTAGTTTCTCGACATAGTAGCTTCAATAGTAGCGACGTTGATAGAATTTCTGCTAGAAATAGATTTCTCGTTGCTTCTGATAGTAGCAGCGAAACTGGAGAACAACAATCAAAATCTCCTATACATCCTATTTCTTCTGGGATTAAATTAAATAGAGCATTTAGCATAAGACGAGCAAGGTATTGAAAATATAATACATTTTTTATAATATTATATAAATATTTTAATAATGTAATTATATTATTTATAGATTAAATTGTGAATCTGATACAACACCAAATACTACACCAGAAGAAAGACGTAGGAAAGCTCAGACCGATGTTAAGATTACATCAATAAATAAACAACAAAATTATCAACGTGGAAGAACAAGTAGTGTTGGTGCTTTCAGTAAAGATTCATTAAAAACATCAGAACCTTCCAAAACTAGAACACCATCTATCTCTAGAAACGATGCTGGTAGAGTAAGCATAAGAGCACCTAAAAGTTCTTACGTAAGTTTTATCAAAGTTAAGATATAGAATCTAAAAACAAATATATAAAACTGTACAATATTATTATTATTATTATTATCTACAGCATGGTCCTATTGGACAAAGAAATGCACAGAAACCTAATAAGGAAACTAAAAATTCTGGTAGAAGTAATTCAACGCTTACATCAAAAGAAGTTGAATTTCAAAATTGGAAAAGAAGAAAAAGTTATGATCCTATGAAAGCAGCAGCAGAAGGAAGAAAAAAGCTTGTTGATGGTTCGAAAAAACATCATAGTACTGAAGATAGTTCTGGAAAGTAAGTACCAATGTATACAATGAAATTTATATTGATCAATCACAAGTATTCAAATCAATTTCTTTTTCAGTCATGACAATTCAGTATTACGTTCAGCTAGTTTTCATGGAACTGGTGGTACTCTTTCTCTAGCAAACGAGTGGTCTGATAATGAATTAAATTATTCGCAAGATGAAAATCAAGAACCTACTCCATGTAGCTTGCAATTGGTATATATATATATAATTATATTTTGAAAGATTTAAAAAAATATATATTAATAATCATTGTAATTCAATACACATCATTTCTTTGAATTATTACAGGGTAGTGATAGTGATCTAGAAACCTCATCATATTTACAAACAACTCAAAATGTTGTCTCAGCAATGTCGGCACGTATGGTAGTATATCATCCCTCGTTAGCAGATTCTGACAATGAAAGTGATGAAGATACTAGTCAAAGTTTACATCAGAATACATCAAAAGTAACACGTCAGCCTAGCGACACAGAAACTAGCGATGAACAACATGTTATTCAACCTCCAATTTCTAATACTAAATATAATAGAGCATTTAGGTAAATATATATATATATATATATATAATATCATTTTTATGTATTATTGAAAATTCTATCAAAATATGCATTAATGGTTATGTGTGTAGTTTACGTAGGGCAAGGTTAGAACCACAACCATCAAAAACAATTAATTCAAGTATAACTAAGCCTAAAGTTGTACAGGAAACACGTGCAAAGATAGAACCTAACACTAGTATAAATAGAACTGATTCAGGACGTTTTAGCATGCGAGCTAATAGAGTCTCAAGTGCTGTAAGTTTGAATTACAAACATTTATATATGTTTAATTATTATTAGAATATATATATATACATATATAAATAAATAATAAATTTTAGGGCCTTAAAGGTAAGCCAAAGGAAACAAAGAAACCAGTAACACCAAATGCAAGAGAAGTAGAAATGCAAAATTGGAAACGTCGTAAGAGTTATGATCCAATGAAAGCAGCAATGGAAGGACGAAAAAAAGCTAGTTTATCAAAGAAATCCACTACTAATGCAAATCTCTCACCGAGGTATATAATTTTAAATATTTTTTCTTACGTATAAAGAAATAAATAAGAAAAAAGATTAAAAAAAAAAAAACTAAAAAAAAGAAACATTCATTTCATTGTCTTATTAATCATATAAGTAATCATTTCACTTTTGGTATAGGACTGATAGCGATCGATAATGTAAAGATACACATAGAGATCTCTTCGATGCAAGCAAGTGGTACGATTACAAAAAACTTGTTTGAATTTTATAAGCTTATAGATTTTTTCTAGAGATGCTACTATGATTATTTCTATCTATCAAAGAGATTGATTTTTATTAACATATGACAATTCTCTCGAAAAAATCAATAAGTTATAATTCTGCTTCCTGATTCTGCTCGTTATTTACATTCGTTACATCCAGGAATCATAAAGTGTTCGTTATACAAATTATCTTAGAAGAATTACATTGATAGAATAATGTTATTTAGTCACTAAACGATTCCTGGTTTATTTAATAAGCACTAGTTTTGTTCATATAACACACTTATCTTATATATATATATATATACTACTTATTATATATAACTATTACGATACAAAAAATTGTTTCTTTGACAAACTAAAATTAATGAAATTTAATAATTTATTTTTTAATTTGTCTTTTTGTTCTTTTTTCTTCCAGTTTTATATTAAACTTTTATTTTGCATTTGCCAGTGGTATTATTACAAAGAAATGTTGTGTTTTTAATAAGCAGTATGAATATTGAAAGCTTCAATTCTTGTTTTGCACAAATGAAATGATAAATTTACTTACTGTATATTATTTTTTAGCCATGTAGCTAGATCGCAAAGTTTCCATGGTTCAGTGGGTCTAGGCAATGAAGAAGACTGGAGCGATGAAGAATTAGCTATATCAGCGGATGAAGCTCCTCTTTACTAAATCCCTAGCAACTGTCTCTCTCTCTCTCTCTCTCTCTCTCTCTCTCTTTCTCTCTCTCTAGGATTAAAATAAGCAGCTACTGTATCGAAAGTAAGATAAAAAATCAATTTTTATAGACCTTGATGTACATAATTAAAATAACACAGGTGTTACTTTGCAAGAAGTTTTATGCACTCGTAATCAATTTCAAAAAAAAAAAAAAGAGAAAAAAGAAAAGAAAAAAAAATGAACAAGAAAAATATATAAAAGCAGTAGTCAAACTTTTTATATATTAACAATTTGTATAGCCTGCAATATATAATATAGAGAGAATCATTAACTTCATTCAATTATTAAACTTTTTCAACTTTTTATTAATGTATAAGCACTGGAAGTGCATATTTTTGATTTCATGTATGTTAGGAAAGATTAAACTAATATTATGCAAGGTATGTGTAGTAGTATTTAAAACTTTTGGTGCTTATCGTTAGAATCTCAATAATAATAATTATTAAAAATTAATTTATAAAATTTGTTTATATCCTATGTATGGTTGAATTTTATTTAATTATATTACAAATAATAAATTATAATTTTCTTTATTTATGTAATAATGTGTTAGAGAATAATGAATAATACATATAAAAAAATCTCATTAAGGTAGATAACAAATTTTATAAAAAAAAAAGAAATCTTTCATGACAAAATTGCTCTCTATGTTATTGTATTACAGATTTTTGTTTGCTTCTTTAAAACGATATAATATATCAAATTGGTTATTTCATGTGAAATTATAATGAAAAACAAATTGAAAATGTTTTTGTTTTCTCACGCTTTTCTTATATTTAAATATAATTTGTTTTAAATAAATAATTACGAGTGCAAATAAAGTACATAAGTCGCTTAAAACTATAACTATGTGATGAGTTAGTAATGAATTAAAGAAAGAAAAAGAAAAAGAAAAGAAAAGAATTTTTGTTTTGATAAAATGAAAAAAAGTATTTTTTTATTTAATAAAATGAATGTGATGATTATTATTATTATTATTATTATTATTATTATATGCTTTACGCGATAAATATACAATAAGTATTATGTACTTTACTATTAATCAAATTATAATTTACATGCTTACTTTCAATCTAAGCTATGTAAATAATAGTAAAATCAATTGATTCTAAATTGATCCTAAAAATTAAAACACGTTTATATTATAGTATATTGATGAATGTTACGATGATCTAAGGATACATAATTATAATGTTAGATTATAAGCTATTCGTTAAATATTTAATATCATTTCAAATATCACTATCATCTTCCAAGATCAATTTTTTCATTGTTGTTCAACAAACAAAAAAAAAAGAAAAAAATTCTATTACATATTTGTTGCGCTTCTATTGCTCTATTATAAATTTAATAATCATTTTGTTCCTTGAACACCACCCCCCCTGCCTTGAACAAATACATGTTATTGTTTAAAAGCAAATATAGAAAAGAATTATTACTGTATACTTGAAAATTCCTTTAATAGATATTCTAAATTCAAATCAAAAATTGATCCTGACACGAATAAGTTATATTTGAATGTTTATTGCACAATTTGTATAAATAATTCAACCCTTACAAATTTCTTCCTCTTATCTATCATACGTATATTATTGGGAATATATTGCAATGATAAGAGTAAGAAAAAAGTAACATATAAAGATTCTTCTCTGTAATAGCAATTCCCCTAAAGACAAATAATTACAATTGTATCTTTTTCCAATTTGTTTTTTCTCTCTTTTTTGTTTTTTTTTGTTTTTGTTACTATTATTATTTTCTTTTTAATAGCTGTAATATTATACAATTAAAACATTGTAATTGGTTATGATTAAATTTGATTGATTGATTACAACTTTAAAAAAGGAAAGAAAGAAAGAAAAAAAAAGGTGCTAATTAAAAGAAAAATTTGATTACAACAGTCATCACAAAACAAGGCTATATAATAATTATAATAGTTGATAAAATTAAACATGAAATTATTGTTAACATTATTGATTTATCTATTCGTACTATTTATAAAATGAAATCTTCTAAAAATTGTACTGATCTATTAAGAAAACAAATTAGCTTATTTTTTTTACTTGTGATATGAATTATTGTACTCTCTATATACTTTATAATGGTACATTATACACAGACAATTATGTTATAAACAAATTATTATAGTATGTAAGCTCTCATATATATTATACGATAGCATATATATATAGATATATATATATATATAGGTTTTTATTTTTTAATTCCATATCAATATCGACATGTTCTTCCCTGCAAATGTAAATGGGCTTCCAATGAGAAGATCATTGTATAACTAAAAAATATTTTGTTCATGCCTACAAAACTTAAATAAGGATAATGTTTTTATTAACTACGTCCTATAAGATTACATTAACTATCGCTTAAGTATATATTTACTTGTGCTTTTTTTGATTTACAAGTACCAAAGTATGCTGCTGCAATTGGAATATTTAATAAAACATAATATTTAATATTATTTATATTAATCTGTTAGTAATTTATATTAACAATTAATGAGTTACGTTAAGTATCAACTCCGTTAAGATGTAAGTTACATGATTGAAATTTTTATTTCTATATAAATACCGTAATGAATGAAAATTAATATTAATAAACCTTCCATTTGCATAATATTAACATACGTAATATTCATTAATTCTACATTATATATTTGATTACTCTTATTACATTTGCACAATATGATAAATAATATATTTTTATATACGCAGTGCCTAATATGCGTTCAATTTTATAGTTAAAATCTTCTTCTTCTTCTTCTTCTTAAAACTTCATCCTGCTAGCTATTGGCTATTTTTGTTAGTTTGTTTATTCTTTTTACTAAGGTTAAGTTGCTAACCTCACACTCGAACCTTCCCCTTTATCTAGGACTTAGGACATTATAGTTAAAATAATTTTATTAAAAAAATATAAATTAGTTCCTATTCTAATATTTTCTCTCTAATATATTAAATAATAATGTATGTTAATAACAAATTTGGCGCTTTTTTTAAATTTACCCTGAAGCTACTGTGGCGCCACCCTAATTGAATGCATAACCTAATATTCGAATGGTAAAACAGTTCATTATCGACTGACACCAATAACGTAGATCATTGATATTATCGACAGTAGGATAACGTAGTTTACTTACATATTAGTACTGTAATTCATGTTTACACATCTCAAAAGCTTCAACCTTTCTAGTTTCTTATTTAGATCGATTACGTATGATACTTCTCTTCGAATATATTTTTAAATAATTATATAAAGAGAAACGAAGAGTTAAGTGATTATTTTTTCGTTAAAGAGAAATCTTAATGAAAATTTTGTTCAAAGAATATTTTAGTACATTACAAGCTCTTTCCATCTTATTGTAATATAACCTCAAATAAAAAATAACAAGATGATTTTCGAAACAATGGATGAATCCAGAGATTTTCTTACACGACATAAGATAGATTATCCTTCAAGGATTGCGAAAAAATCGGTCAAGTACAAACCAAAAGCGCATTATCCAACACCCTTGAATATATTAAATGGACCATATAAATATCATTTGAATACAAGTTGCTTAAATGAAACTTTACCTTTGGAGAAACGAACGGAAGATCCCCGAAGTTATACGAATAGGGTGAAACGAAATGATCGGATTGTTTTAATCATTTGTCCATGCTTACACATAGAAAATGAATATTAAGAAAAAATTATTAAATTAATTAATTAATTAATTAATCGTATAGGTGCATACAAAATATCCACATTTGAAGAAATTTATTCTCGAATCTTCTTTGAATGAAGAACTTTTCGAAGAAGAAAATAAGAAGCTAAATCGAACTGTTTATCAAATAGATTATTCTAAGCATCTTGGTTAGTATAACAAATTGACAAAATAATTACAATGAATAGAATTATAATTTGTTTAAATTTGGACAGACGATTTTGTATCTTTGCGTGATCAAAAGTTAGGAACGCATATAAAACGAGCAACTTTACCGGACAATTGGATCATACCAGAAACCGTACAAAAACGTTCTTTTCGAAATCCTTGGGAAATGATTAGAAAGGATTTATTACTTGTCAAAGTCAAAGAAAAACCTGCAAATAATCTCGATCCTAATCCGAAAGAACGCGAAATTCTTCGTGTCAAGTATATATTTATCAATTCGTATAGAGAGAAAATATTCTATTATTTTTATATTGTTTTCTTATATCTTCAGTAAAAAAAAAAAAAAAAAAGAAACAAAAATCTCTTGTTCTCTTTAAATATAGAAAAATTCTTGTTTGTTCTTTTTAGAACTGGAAAATCTGAATACGAAGATGCGATCGGTAAAACGGGAAATTTAATTATGAGAGAAAAACCTTACGGCCTATTATTACCGATCGAGACATCCGCCATATTGGGTACAAAGGATGATTCTAATAAAAAATCAGAATGTTCTATCGTTTTAACTTCCAAAAACATAGCATTACCTTCAAATATATTTTGATTTTTAATTCTAAAGAAATAAAATTGTTTTATGTTTTTTCAAATGTACAAATACGTTATAGAATTAAGGATCAATGTCATCATGTGTTTGATCAATTATAAAGATAGTTTATTAATTGTGTAGATCAATTAAAAGTCGTAGTATAGAACACATGATGAATTGATTGATATTTTCCATAAAAAAAAAAAGAAAAAGTAAATAAAACTACGCTCCTCATTGCTAGTAAATTGACATGGCAAAGATCACAATTTACATGTTGGTAAAATTTATAGAAATGATTCACATTTTTAAACGTAAGAGAAAAATTTAAAAATGATTGATCTTACACCATGGCTTCTTGCTAGCATTACAATAAAAACGCGTTAACATGATTTTTTATAGTCTATCATTAACTCTAAATTTATCTAAATCATTCAGAAAGTAATCGTGATATTCGATTTTGAAGTTATTATCAAGATCATCAACTTGAATTATACAAAAAGAACAAGAAAAGAAAATTAATAGTTTACATTAAATTTATCTCTAAAATGATGTGTTATTATTTCTAATAAGAAATATCAAATTCACAAGTCAATTGATCTTGAAAAGAAGAAAGCTTCAAAATGTATCATTTTAATCAATTATTGATGATATAATTGAACTATCCCTTAGATTAATATGTCCCATGTTAAATTTTTTATTACTTGGGCAAAAATATTTAATTAATTATGTAAAAATCGATGTTATATGTACATATATATATTTACGTATACCATCATGTATATACATAAATATATAAATAAGCCACTATGCATAAATAATCCATTATTTCTCTTTTCTATCTTCTTATTTTCTTTTCCCATCTTTAAACTCAACATATAATAATACATAATTGAGTTTCATAAAGATTTACAAATAATCTAAATTTGATTGTACTTGCACTTGAAAATACATATATATATATACAAATAATTACTTTGAATTAACAAAGAAAGTAAATAAATGTATCGAATAGTGATATATTTAAAATCAAACACAGTAATGGTTATTTAACATGTGTGTGATGTGTAATAAATTATTAATTCAGTCTCTCAATCGATTATGTCGATATACGATCGACGATATACGATCAAAGTGAATTTCTCAAATAATTATGTATCGTATGAATTGCAATTAAGTAGTATTTTAATAATTAATCTTAATGTATCGTATATCGTAATCGTATTATCATTTCTAACACAATCCAATTTTTAACTATGATTTACCAAGCTCACATTCGATATGCACGGCAAATAAGTGCTAGAAAAATATTACAGACAAACATCACATTTTATTTATTGTATATATAGTTTTGCCTTTGTGTTCGTTTTTATTAGTATTTACAAATTTGAACGAAAGATCAAAGTTTTTATCCAACATTTCATCGTGTTAAAAGAGAGAGAGAGAGAGAGAGAAAGAGAGAGAGAGAGAGAGAAGAAAGATATTTATTTACAAAAGTTAGCATATATGTTCGAAGTTCGTACTTATTATTAATTACGAATACGCACATATATGAATTCAATTTCATTACTTCTCAGACGTTTGATTTTCTTCATATCCTCCTTTTAAACACATCTCTCTTTTTCACAGTCTCCTTTTAAATAAATATCTACAGTAGGTAGACTGTTAGAAAGATTGGTGCATCTCTACGATTTTTCTATCTTTCAATTAAATCAGACTTTCTTCCATTGATTACAATTAAATATCATAGAAAAAGTAATAAGTAATAAACGCTAAAATATCTCTTCCAACTTTTTATACACACGCACGCACATATTCCGAGTAGTATTTTCTTCATTAATTTTACATCTGATATCGAAATGTATACAAGGAGAATGCACGTTTCTATAGTTTATACTCCGATGACACAAGTTTTGAATTATCAAGTTTTTAATCGTAATATTTTACAACCTTCTATTATTCATTCTAGTAATCAACAGAATTTGGCGTTGATTTAACTAGATCATTTGCAATGTAATTTTATATTCACTTTACTGGAACCATTACTCTCTTGTATGCATAATCCGAGACTATACTTCTTAGAAGAGAGATGTAAGTTCAAATTTACAATGCACAAACACTTACTTTCGTTTCTTCACTTGACCTGAATGAAAACGACCACCTTCTCCACGAATTCTTTTCATTGCATGTTGATGACGAGACTCGTGTAGATATTTCTATAAAAAATATGTTTCTAACATAAGAAACTTGAAAATTAATATAAAAATATAAGAAAGTAAAATAGAATGAAATACATACTGGTCTTTCCTTTGGAATTTTTCCTTCCGCTTCTAATTTGGCTCGTGCTTGACGCCTTTTTAATATACGTCTGTATTGCTTGGCATTTACGTATAAAGGTTCTTCTTCCAAGAATTCTGCATTAGGTAATGCTACTCTTTGAAATTGAGTTTGACCGCTATTTCCTGGTACCATCTGATATTAAAAAAGAAAAAAAGATGTTTTAATGTTTCACTTAAAGTGAATGAATTTTAATGAAATTATCATCAAAAAGGATAAACAACAAATTACCATTACAACATTTCCTGCTTGCGATGCTGTTGCTGTAGGGCTAGCTAATGGTTGAACTGGTGCTGTTGTTGCAGCTGTAGTTGCAGTTTGCGAAGTAGTACCAGCTATTTGCATAAGATTTCCATTGATGTTTATAACTGAAAAATAGAATTCGCTTTGAAATTCCATTAGAATGAAAAACATTAGAAGAATATTAGTTATATTTTTACCAGTAGGTTGAGTCTGTTGAACCTGGCCTTCTATTTGAACGGGTTGATAAATATAAGTCTGTCCATCAGGAGTTTGAATAATTTGAGGCGTTTGTGGTTGCTGTATAACTATTTGTTGACCTGTATTAGTGAGACTGGAAACTGGAACAACTTGAATTTGTCCATTGGGAGCTTGTATAGCTTGTATTGCTTGAGGTAACATCATAGCTTGTCCTCCTTGTCCCATTTGAACAACTTGCACTGTTCCACCAGTACTCCCAACAACAACCGCTTGTCCTTCTCCTAGCTGTTCCATTGTGAATTTTCACTGATAAAAGAAATTTGGTATGTTCACACATCATGAACTTGATATAAGACAGATTTTCTTTCAAAATCTTTAATATTATCATTGTTTCAAGGAAAAGAATTTGTGTTTACGAATAATTTAATAAATATATCCAATCTAAAGAGTGATAGAAAGTATAAAAATGAGAACATACTTAAAAGAAAGTGTAGTTTCTCATTTGGAAACATTATAGTTGAAATAAATTATTAATCGATGCTATTTATCATCATCATTAGCGATGTTTTGAAACGCCAACGTGGCGTATGCATGCAGTCCAGATTGAACCCACGTGCAGGTCGGGAAATAGGCACGAGGTGCATGCTAGAAAAGTAAGAGAAAGAGGAAGAGGAAGAGGAAGAGGAAGAGAGAGAGAGAGGAAGAGAAGGTAGCCATGAAAGAGAGAAAGAGTACAATAAAATGCAAGAGCGAGGGAGTTAACGAGCGAGCGAAAGAGAACGCGCGCGCTCTTGTATATGTGTGTGAAAGAGAAAAAGATAGAGAGAGAGAAAGATACTCGAGGGCAGACGGAATCGAGGGCTGCGTTGTCGTGTATGTTACTCAAAAGACCTTGCACGAGGGCTGGCGTTTTCACCGATGCTATCGCTAATAATCACAAAGGAAGAGTCTACTTCGTAGTTAAACTTATTTCGAAAAGCACTAAACTCGAGGGCGTGATCCAGACATCGGTAGAAAACTGATTTTTTTAAGGAGGTTTAAGAAGGCGTCGAAGAAAACGTGTCTCAAATACGATTGCATGGTTGACGATAGAATAAGTCGGTGAAACGTTTCTCACGACAAACATGGCCGTGCGGAACGGCATTTCGAGCGTCGTTAGCAGGCGAGATAATTTTGAGATGATAGGAGAGAAATTCGCGAGGAGGAAGGTCCACGCGCGAGCGTATGTCTATCCCGTTGATGTTTGATAATTTGTGGACTTACATTGGATCTTTTCGTAAGCACTTTCCCAATGATTGGTCGGCAAATTGAGGACCAATGGTCGGCGATAGAGAGTTACTTGGCTCTTGTGTATTGGTGGCACTGAACGAGGGGACCTGCCAGTACGACGGCAGTCCGATGCCAGACCGGTCGATGCCCCTCCGCGACACCACATTCACGGCCAATCAATTCCCAGGGCTTATCCCCACCATTGCTTTCCCGCGCTCTCCTCGAATCTTCGCGCCTTCTCAACTGTCGCTATTCCCGCGATTCTTTTCGAAATCGATCGACACATATGTTCGATATTATTCTACATTCTCGACCTATACAAAACTCTTTTCATTTTCCTTATATTTATTTTCNAAAAAAAAAAAAAAAAAAAAACAATAACAAAATAATACTTATAACTTTCTTTATCTATATCCTTCGAGTGTGAATTTATTCTTTATTTATTTCTTCGTACTAACAATTACGTACATATGTAGTACTTTCCATATTAGTGCGTATATATATATATATATATATGAGTTACGTAGTACTAGATTATCTATCCAATTGATCGTTTACTTTATTTTTTTTCTATCGATTAATATTATTTTTTACAAAAAAAAAATTCTTATCAGAAAACTATATTTTTTGTCAGAATGTAAAATCTAAATGTTAATCTTGTAGGATAGTTTTATTCGTTAAATCATTCGTATGATTTTTATATGCGTCTAATTTATAAAGGAAGGACTGCGAGTGGAATATTACTTTGATTACGTTTTTATTATTATAGCAATAAATAATTCTTTCAATGTTTTCTTGACAATTAGGTGTACGGATTTGATTCGATTGATAGTTATAAAAGCGCGGTTAAAATAAATACCGTTATTATAGTGACCCTCCCCCTCTCTCCTTTCACCCTCCTCATTCTCTTACTACTTGTTGCTTTCGTCATATACAATAGAGATATGTTTACTTGCGTTTCCTGCATCTAACTGTATATCATCTACTGGCCGTCTCCCACCTGTGGCATTTTTCATTTTTATTGCAAATATATACAAACACATATATATAATAGTGATTAAGAATTATCTTTCCTATTTTTTATATACTATTATTAACTTTATTTTAGATTTATTTTATTTAACTACAAAAAAATGGTCATTCTAATTCATCTAAATTTATGTGGCAGTGTTGTAAATTTGTAATCCTTATTAATTAGTTTTATTTTACAAGCAATTATTGAGAACAATTTCTATAAGCATTATGTTTATTATAAGGCCAGGTATTCATAATTTTGATAAATGATTATCTCGATATACAATATTAATATGATTATCTATCGATACAAAATATACAGTACACGTAAGTACATATTTTTCAACAGGCAAAAGATACATTAGGTGAATATATTTATAAGATTTATTCTTAGCTTCGACTGATATTAACAATCGTGTTTACAAAACGTTTGTACAACTATTTCAATAAAACAGACTTTTAAAATTTATTTCATTATTATCTATAGGATTCTGTTTTTTTTTTTTTTTTTTCTTAAAAGTGCACTCGACCATATAGTAATAACTTTTCTTTTTTAATGGTTTTTTAATGGTCTTTTAATGTATTTTATATGCAGTTTCATAATGTTATTTAGTAGTAGTTGAATTTCTATCGTTTCGTATTTAAGATTGAGATTCGAAGCCACGATAAAATATTATACATCTTATATTTCTTTTTAATACAAATCTCTATCTTTTCGATCTCGTTAAAAACGCATATTCATTAACAACATTTTCAACTGTTAACTTTAGAAAATCTTTAACAAAAGATTTATCTTAGTCTTTTCTAGAATCACAGAATGAAATGCGTTAACAAAGTTTAGCAAGGAACAAACGAGATCGAAAGGCAATATAAATTTGCCCTACGTCAATAAATCATTTTTATACGAGTGATTATAAATAAGCTATACAAAAGTCTTATCAAATTAATTATTCTTATACATATATATATATGAACAAAATTAAAAGAAAACAAAAAAAAGCACAAATGATTTACTTCTTTCGATTACTATTATGTTACATTAAAACATTATTCAAACTTAGCATTTAGATATAATTCTATATGAGAGCAGACCTATAATTCAAACTTAATTATGATACAACATTACGCCTAATGTTTTACTTCACATTCATTTTTAAATAAGCTCTATCGTTGTTTCCAATTCAATAAAAATTATTGCGAGCTCAGTTTGATAAGATACGTACTTTGTGTCTCTTGACAAAAATAATTCCATTTAGACAGGCTGATGTATCCTGTCGATGGAATTACTGTAAGATCACGATAAGAAAGGAACTACCAAATCTTCCTTATGCTCTACTTTGATGTCATTTAATGCAGCTACTGCATTCTTGAGCATTCCAGTGATCTATAAAAAAGAAATTATTAAGAATTATTTATATAAAAATTGATGATATCAATCAAAGTTAACTTTCTTTATACAGGGTGAATCACGTTCCATGATTCAACCTGTATATGGGTAATTCTCAAATAACTGTGATTTTTACAACTCAAAATTTTTAAAAATTAAAAATGCTTTATAACTTATGTTTTGGGTACTATTGTTTCCTAATTATGCTCAGAATTAAACCTGTAATGTAGTTCTATTACAACTTCAATAAACAAAAAACTAGGACAAAAATTGAAAATTTCAATGTTACGGTACTGACAAATAAATGAAATATTCAAAGTACTTACCTAAATCTTTTTAAAATCTTAAAATAATAAAACGAATGATAAATTATAATACTCTTATAATCATACAAAGATCAATTATCTTTAATGTTTCTCTTATAATGATCAAAAATATGTTGAATGATAAATAAAGTACTGGACATAAAAAATCATAGTTACCTAAGAATCACCCATATACGCAAAAGTGTATCTTACAAGTTCGAGATCTCCAGCATCAAGCGGATTCGATGCGAGTATTCGTTCAGGTGCAGGAATATCCTTGAGAAGACACGTGGTATAATCGGGGACTTTGAAGCCCCCTGCTTCTATACGTTTTGCATAAGCTCTAGATCTATCCATGTATTCGTGTTGTTCCAAATTATGTGAATCCAATGCGCCAATATCTATTACATTTCTGTAAGTAGAACATTTGTTTATAAGAAATTATATACAATATTTGATCACATATTAGCTAAGAAACATAATATATAAACTACATAATTCTAACTAATTCTAACTATCAACACTCACGCCGCTGTTTCGTGCAGAATTCTGTTCAATGCGCTTTGTTCGTCTGTCTTCTTAGGTTCAGAATTTGCATACTGATTAACATAATCATCGCTAGAAAATAAAATAATAAAGCCTTAATTGATTCTATTAAAAAAAATTAAATAGCAAAGCAACATAACAAATATCTTACCTGTGCACTCTTGGTATATTTGTATTATTACTAACAGGATCAACTAGAAGATGTGTTCTCTCGTTCACTTCGCCACTCTATAAATAAAAATCTTATTACTTTAAATATTCATTATACACCATACCATAAGGAAAACATTAAACAAAAGCAGTAATAAGTTATAATGCATGAGGCATATAAATAATTTGCAAACTCCAATGTTTTCAAACATTGATTTTTATCCATTAATATTAGTAAAGCTTTCTCAATAAAATTGGAATGATGTTTATTGTACATTGTAATTTATTCTTTAAGTTCTGGTTTTCAAAACTAAATTTCACAAACTACATTCTTTGTTATATTATAAGATACATATATATAATATACTTAATATAATAATCACAATAATATGATAATCACAAAAATGTACATTCGCAATGAGATATAATTCAATTCTTAAAATTAGATGTTTATACTTGCAATTGAACTTGTATGTTATAGTCTAATAAAACTAAAAATCTTTATGATACTCATGACTAAACTATTAAAAAAACCAATATTATTTATCTTAAAGGCAATGAAAATTGCGATAACTCGTGTGTCCCTACGTCATTAATAAGCGTATATATATCAAAGTACAACGATAAAGGAAGAGAGAGAGATAAATGTTAAAAAAAAAATGGTTAATAACATTGCGAATATTCGGGTTAATATTTCTTACCTGTGGTCCGGTGTCCTCTTTACAAAAACTGTAGCAACATCCCATACTTGATAAAATTCTAGATAACTTTTAAAATGAATTAATTTTCCTTTTCATTCCTGTAAACAATCCGGCATGAATCACGGCGCATAACAGTGCGTTTCAATAGTGACCCATAACCTACAACATCAAATTATAAGTTAGAGAGACAACTTCTTTTGTAAATTAAGTTCAAAGTTACTTTCAATATCATTACCAGGCGTCGCTAGTATCGAAATATTTATACTGTAACGACGGAAATATTTAAAACCATGTTATATATTTTTTATTTAATAAATTATAGAGAAATTCTTGTGATTATATATACTAAATATTATACATGTTTCTTATTGTCAGATCGAAAAAAGTATAATATTATTATATAAATAAGAATAAATAACAACACTGATATTGTCCAATGACGTTGGAGGATTTTAAGAGAGTAGAGGGGGAGGGTTGATAGGTTAAATGAAAAGATTGCAGCGCCACCAAGTTAGAATCGGAAGAGATAGTCCGCACTTGTCTGCAATTTGTCACGAAATTATGGATTCATTAGCAAGTTACGCGAGTGATGGTGAAAATAGTAATAATTCGGAAGAACTGAAGGTAAGACGATAAAAAAGTGATTTTTTTATACTATATAATGACATTTTACTGAAAAATAATGATTTCAATAAGGTAACAGTAATGTCGGTAGTGATTACAATGTGTACGCTTGGAATCATGGCTTCCAAACTAACGTACTGACTCCTATAGTCGACCATTAAATGGCGAATCGTAAATAAGAATATATATTAGATATAGATATTTATAAACATAAGAATGATTTTTAACGAATGTTTTTTTACGTGATTTTCTTAATTTTCCACTAAAGCTATTATACAAAATATTTTATTAGTGAGCTATATTAATTATTTATGCATTACAAAAATGTATAAAAATGTTTTCATATGAAATTGAATATATTTATTTTTTGTGTTCTATGTTACTTATTATTCAAGATGTCATACGAAGGACAAGCAGACGTAAGGACTAGAAGGGCTAGCGATGCTAATTATGACCCAGTACAAATGGACATGAGTGAGGTATGATTAAAAAACATGTTTCCAAACATATCTGTTTAATTTTAAGTTCGAAACATTTGGACGATGACTGGGAAGATACAATGATGGCTATGTAGGGACAGTATGTACGTGACAGGGTTTTAGGACTGATACGCTAACAGTCTGGTATATGGTGTTATGAGGTCACGTTGAACAACATAGTCTTTGAACCGAATCGATTAGTTGCTTAATAGTTTGAAATTCTCTCTTTATTATCATCTTTTCTTATTTCTCCATTTTCTCTTAATTTCAATTACATTTAGTTTCTCATTCATAAGAATGTTATAATCTTTGACGTTGCATTCAGTTTTGTTTACTTCATTTTTACAATTTTACATATTACAATTTGTAAAACGTGATCTTAAAACCTTCTTGTTGAGAGGAATAATCAGACTATAATTGATATTTAAAAGTTTAAATGATAAGTAAATGGGAATAGTACCATTTCGTGAGAAAATATTAACACGTAGCTCTGTTGGTAATACATGATACAATATCTACGCACCTCGGCAAGGTCTATGCTGTGTGAGGGTCTTTCAAGACTACCCCCAAGTCCTATTCAGAAGACAGAGGTGAGTAGAGGAAGCTGGCAGAAGGTAACACTAACAAAACACCAACCATCAAAGAACACCACACTTGTCAAATATTTTGCCAATAAATAACTGCATAGACATATATATATATATATATATATATATATATATATAAATGTATATATGTATACATCTATGCAGAGGATATTTAATATATTTACATTTCTCTTTCATAATGTGGTTGTTTCATGTTGGTTTTATATACCTACCGGCAATTAACAGAAAAATTGGATTGTGTAATCAAAGTAACTGATGCGTAAATCTTCTGCATCACAAAAACTTTGTATCAAGTACAACCAATGATATAAGAAAAAAATTTTATTTTTTCTTTATCATGAACAAAAAAAAAATACATAAAATCGTGTTATTTATTTCTTCATAGCTAATTATTATTATACAAAAATATTTTTAAAAAATAAGTAAGAAAAGTAACGCTATGTAAAATCCACATGTATTATAATAGAGTAATCTATTTGTAATTATTGATCTCAGGTATAATCTTCCTTGTTAAAAGTAATAATATTAAACACTATTCCTTATTAATCAATTCTGTGTGAAATAGAAATACAACGTTACTTTTTTCTAGAAATTTTATTTATATATAAATAATGAAATATTTATGCGCGATATATCCACAATGAAGATAATGTAATTTATGTTTAATAAATGCATAAAATAATTTATAATTCCATTTAAAAGTATTTTCTTTTTAATGTAACAACTTTCTATATAGAAGCTTAATATATTAAAACAATCAATTTTGATTTCTTTAGGAAAGCAACAACAATAACTCTTCTGGAGAGTCTGGAAGTGAACGTGCTCATAGTCCTGCAGCAATGCCCTCAGCACTAGGTTCCAAAACAGACTCGTCTAGAATTTCACCATCTTCTTCAGACCAGAGGTGAGCTGGTTTGTATATGACCATTACCGATTTAATTTTTATTTATTTTTATTAACGCGTTTCATTGTATCATATAATGTCAATTAAAATCAAAAGAAAAAAGAAAACGTTAAAATCCAAAGAAATGTTTTGAACACTGAGCATATATTTGTGTGTGTGCTTAGTTTAGCAAAATTCTTAATAAACCCATTTCATACAGAATAATAATACGAATCTGTGTGGTATACCCCTGCAGAACGTAATCGTTTTACAGGAGATCCGATAATGAAAGCAATAAGGATGAACATAAAAGGAGTGACAGATCTGACCGTAACAAGCATAGTGGTGAGAAAAATCGTCGATCATCGTACGACGATAGGAGACAACGTGGTGATAATAGTAATGCTCATAATAAAGATACCAGGGAAAAACGAAGTAGGGACGATGAGAAAAAGTCACGCGATGAGGATAAACGTAAAGAGAAGAGCGACGAGAAAGATCATCATTATCGCGATGATAGTCGAAGGGATAGAACACGTGAATCGAGAAACGACAGAGACAGACGTAGAGACAGAGAAAGAGAACGAGAACGTCGTCATTCTCGGGACGAAAGATCAAAGGATCGATATAGGGAAGAAAGATCTAGCTACCATAAGGAAAAAGATCGTACGAGATCAAGATCCAGGTCGAGAGATCGGGCTCCGTTACCTTTCAGAACAATGAGCTATAGAGAAGAAAAGGGAAGAAATAAATTAGCACAATTAGAGAAATTAGGAATTGAATTAAAAGCACCCGAAGGTGATACTGTAGCTTTGGGAATTCAAAGTGAGCAAAATTATTATAATCCGTTGACCACGGCTACTCAGGGGAAATATGCGGAGCAAATTCAAAAGAGGAAATTACTCTGGGCTAATAAGGTGAACAGATTTGATTATGTTTTCATTATTTTTTAATATTAATTTTAATATTAGGATTACTTGTTACATACTATAATCTGTTGTTATATATATATATATACAAGAAGTAATAATTATGCATTTATATTTATTTATTTTCACGCGACTATGTATGTATATCTATACTTTATTTCTTTTATTAACTCCTCGCACAGTCGAAACAAGAAGAAGGTAAAGGTACTTCCAATACAGCTACTACGGCAAACACATGGATGGGTACGACGTTTACTCATGACCAAGACGGAAAAGTAACTGCGAAATTTAAGAGACTGATGGGAATAAAAGGTGATTTACCAAACACACAAACTGTAGGTACAAAGCCAGATATTTTGAAAAAACAGGAAGAAATGTTTAACAACATGGAACAACAATACGAAGTGGCACGCGCTACTACGCACACTCAACGTGGTGTAGGACTCGGATACTCCACTGGAGGATATCAATTTCCACGATAAATTATTATTATTAATATTCATGTAATAAAAGAAATGAAAGAAATGAAACGCTAGGTAACTGTATTATAATATAGTGATATTTGTATAAGTTGTCACGATGAGATTAAAAAGAGAAAGAAAAAAGAAATAGTTTCGTTCGAGCTTATATCATTAAATTTTCGTAAAAAGCTTATTATATTATATTATAATAAAGCGTTTCTAATATGCATCCGAGTTATTTAAATGTATTTAAAGAAAGATCAAAAGTACATTGTAAAATTAACAATTATATTTTAAAGATTTATTAATACAAATTTTTCTTTTTAACTTCTTTATTTAACATGTACAGGAAATATAGTTGTAAAAAGAATAGTTTTGATCAATAACAAGCGTTTAAATATATATGTAGATTTTTCTGATCCTTTCTTTTTCATTTACATTTTTTTTCAATAATCAATAGTCAAATAATAATGTAAGCTAATAACAATTGGCAGCGATTGCATTATGATTAAATTATTAAATAAATTAATAAAACCTGTATGTTACACGCACGCATGTAATAAAGCTGATCTTATTATGTAATATGCATTTCCATTTATATATACTTGACATATATGTAAAGATAAGTATATTTCTTTCATTCAAATTTGCCGCGTATTCCTAGGAAGAGGCATAGAGAGATCGATAGAAATCGATTAATCAATCGATCAATCAGTGATAGATAGTTACAGAGATAGGTAGATAAAGAGAGATAAATAATATTATAATAATAAAATTTAAATAATTAATTTGTAAGATTAATTGAACAGTGTATATAGAGAGGAGCCGATAATATTCTTTAATTGTTGTTTTTTATAAGACAATTATATGAAGGGTTTTATGGAATGATAATAATCAAATTTGTTTCCCTGTAAATAGAGGTTAGATTTTATTAGCTCTACTATAGGTAAATTGTATATAATAAAATTCACGGTTGTAAATAGCTAACAAAACCTAACCTCTATTTATAGGGGAAAAAAATTTCATTATTATCATTCTATAAAACCCTTCATATAAATACACGCAGGGCTCAGAGAAAAAATATACAATTTTTCAAAAAATAAAAATATAAAATTATTAAAATATTATGTATACATATATGTACTGAAAAAGTCAAGATGTCACAACGTCTTTTAAAGATTAACAATTATTACACATATACGATATAAAATATATTTTCGTATTTATCGTATTGGTGTAAAAAGTTGTTCAAGTTGTTTAAATATTTTATTTTTATTCATTTTCTCTCATTGTTGTTTGAATTTTATTGTAAAATTTATGTTTATAAGAAAATTTAAGTATTCAAGAGTATCAAGGAAATAAACAAATGCATAATATTTGGCGCGCAAAAAAAAGAATAATAAAAATGCATTGCTTCTTCTGATTGGTGGATCTAACGTCGATGTAATACAGAAGAATTGAGTTGCTTTTCAAATGATTTAACAATATGGCGTAGCATCGTTTGAATTTGAACGTTACGTGACAACAGACGGAAGCCTCTAGGAAATGTGAAATAACTTTTTTACTCTCTTCTAATCTAACTTGTGATTTATTTTAAGTATAAATACTATAGGAATAGAGAAACTTAAAAGCATTTTGGATTCTTATATATTTGAAGATCATGGATAATTTTGTTAAGATTGAGAAAATTGGTGAAGGTAAAAACACTTAATAATTTTCTTTTGATACTATCTTAGAATATTTATATATCATTTATTTATCAATAAGATTTAATTATAATCATACATTTCTTAATTGATCGTTTTTCTTATTTTTAACATTTATATGACTCGTGTAAAATGTAAACTTAATTTGTGTTTTCAAAGTTATTTCGACTATTTGTGAAAAAAAATGTACATACTTGTGTAGTGTGTGTGTATGTTCAATTATATATTCTTTGTAAATTTGTGTATTTAATAAAACTTGTATTATACTATAGGCACATATGGTGTTGTGTATAAGGGAAAACACAAAAAGACTGGTGAAATTGTAGCCATGAAAAAGATTCGCTTAGAAAGCGATGACGAAGGTGTGCCATCGACTGCAATCAGAGAGATTTCTATTCTCAAGGAGTTGAAACACCCAAATATCGTTAGTTTGGTCGATGTGCTCATGGAAGAATCTAGATTATACCTTATATTCGAGTATCTTACTATGGATTTAAAAAAATACATGGATAGTTTGGGAAACGGTGTAATGGTAGACCCTAAAACGGTCAAGTCCTATTTATTCCAGGTCTCAATATAAGTCATACATTAATAGCAACAATTAAATGTATATATACATGTATATTTATTTCTTTAATTTTGTTGTTTTAGATAACACGAGCAATTCTATTCTGTCACAAGCGCAGAGTTTTACACCGGGACTTAAAACCACAAAATTTATTAATTGGCACAAAAGGAGTTATCAAAGTAGCAGATTTTGGATTGGGAAGAGCATTTGGAATTCCTGTCAGAGTTTATACGCACGAGGTAGTTACTTTGTGGTACAGAGCACCTGAAATTTTGCTCGGTGCCACTAGGTATTCTTGCGCTATCGATATGTGGAGTGTTGGTTGTATTTTTGCTGAAATGGCTATGAAAAAGCCATTATTTCAAGGAGACAGTGAAATTGATCAATTGTTTCGAATTTTCCGGTAAGATCAATATTTTGTGATATTTCCAAATTTTCTTATAGCGAATTCAAAAAATTATTTATATATTTATTGATTTATTTGGAACAATATTTAAATAGCATTTTAAGAACACCAACGGAAGAAATATGGCCTGGCGTCACACAATTAAATGATTATAAAACAACATTTCCAAATTGGGTAACTAACAATCTAGCAGCCCAAGTTAAGAATCTTGAGGAGGATGGGCTTGAATTATTGCAAGCTATGCTTATTTACGATCCCGTTCATAGAATATCGGCAAAGGAAGCTTTAAAACATCCTTATTTCCAAGATTTGGATATGAGAAAGTTACCACCTACATAATAAAATGGGAGAACAAGAAAAAACGAAGAAATATATGTTCGTTGTGTTTCTTTATGACGTCTTTAATCGTGCGACAATATAAAAAGATATATCTTAGAATAGCGGAAGGATGTGAGATAAGGTGTTTGAGTGCAAACATTCCTTTATTGATGAATATGACTAAACATGCTCATTACATACTATTAAGCTTTATATTATATCAAGTCATTTGTCGAAATTTATTATTTGGTGTTTTCAGTACATTTACGCCTTTCAATATGTGTACTATATATCATAAGTACAGATCAAGAGAGAATTTCGATGCAACGATTACATGATATTACACTATAATATTTTATATCTATATTGACAAACAAGAATTTATCTAAACTATACTTAATATTTGTAATAGAATATTATTAGCAACATCATTTCATCGTCTATAATTTATATTTTAATTAAGTAAGTTTTTTCTTTCTTTGTACTGCCCTTTGATATTTAATATGTGAACAAAAATGTGAATACGAGTGGATGAAATTTATCGATTTGTTATTAACTAAATAATATAGTAAGCATTTTTATGGAAATCAAAATAAACAGAAAAGAAAAGAACTCTCGATAAATATATATATATATATTCTTTAGAATAGCGTAATTTTTGTAAATTATTTTTAAAATACAGGACAATTTTTTGTACGCAAAGCTTTTCATTTATACAATATTATCATATAAACTATAATTGACCTATGTACTACAGGTTAAAGATTTTGTTAATTATAATGACTCAGTTAACTGAGAATTACCGACGTCTTACCATTTCAGCAAAATCTTATTAGGAGATATTACTATTTAGGAGAAGGAATGGGAAGCCAAATAGATAATTAATGATTCTTAGAATCATATGCTCTAAACTAATTTCTCTTATATGTCGACTATGCGTCATCGTGAGCAACAATGTAACTATTTTCTTTCGATCCCTGTTATAAATCGTACAAGTTTGAATTATCAATTTCTATTGTATATAGATCTTTGTAAAATACATTTTGTTTTTTTTTAATTTTAATAACAATTCCAAACAATAATACGAAACATGATAATTAATTTAATTACAATTGAAAATCAATATCAAATGTCTTAGAAGAAATTAATTAATAATAAATTGTTTATGTGGATACTTGTGAACAAAGAGAATATAAAAAATGTTTTCATTAATTAATAGTAAAATGTAAAATTATGAATAATTATTTTGCTGCAATAGACTAAATTTCTTGTTACTTTGTTTTATTGTTATTAAATTTATCTTGATTATTTTTACAGAAAATTGACATCTTTGCTACAGTTGGAATGGAACACATTATTTGTTCTTTCCTGCATGTAACTCATTTAATGTATGCGTGACGTATATCTGAAGATTAGAGAGTGGGGAGATCTCCAGCACATAAAGTCAAGCCTCGAATTACTGTTTACAGTTTGCGTTCAGAACTAAGGATTGACGTTTAAACGGTGAGTCTTTGTTGCTATCCGTGTTTTATATTTTTCAATTAATATTTCCAATTTAGACAATAATCAATGAAATTTTATTATTAAATATCATTTTATTTAGCACATTTTTGTTTTATCATTTCATTTATTATTATTATTTTTATATTTAACTTTGGCTGATTCTATCAAGATCTATATCAGTACAAATAATACATTTTATTACAAATTATTGTTGTTATTAACAAATGATTGTTGTTTAATTAATACGACTGAGAGAAACGTAAGGTTTTTTAATTGTGTGTTTTATTACCTAAAGATAAATTTCTACATAGATTTGTAATATCAGATGTTTTTTTTTATTTAACTTTTTTCAATTAAAAGTTTAAAGTTCGAGTAGATTGAGAGGAGGTCAATTCTATTGCGTGTTGTTTTCTCTCTCGAAATTTGTGTTTATCAAAAAGGAAGTAGATTGATAGTTGTGTAGTAGAAACGTAAATTAGAGGTCTTTGCCCCGCGATGCGTGTCCAAGGACGAGTGAATCATCCAGTTTAAATTTAGGTATTATTTGATCATCTATGGAATCCATAAGTCCGCTTAGTTATATTAGTATTGAATTTTTTAAATAAACAAAATCATCTTATCATCTATTTTTGATTTTCCATTATTCGACCCGCATATCCGGTTTCGTAAAAGAAATTTGATAAAAATTGAACAGCAACTTTCTAGAAACTTAGAACTTATTTAGATTCTTTCTAATTTGTTGAACATTTTCTTTTTTAGAAGATGCGTTCGATCATTTTGTGTATTGCCCTAGCAGGATGTTTGGCACTTGCTAAGGCTCATAGTTATCACATGGGTAATTGTCCCACAGTAGAGCCAATGCATGGATTTCAAATGAACAGGGTAATAATATTTAATCATTAACTAAAAATTGTTCAATCATTGTGACACTTTGGAGATACTAATAATATGTAATTGTAGTTTCTAGGAATCTGGTATGTCATTCAGAAGACATCTACTGCAAGCAAATGTATTAGCTATAATTATACTCGCGGCGAAGAACCGGGAGAATATTTGATAACTCAAGATTCTGATCATCCTGTATTAGGTGAGATTTTAAATGATTAGAATATTTTCTATAAGATTAAATAAGATCATTTTATAAGCATAGAAATCGTTGCGTTTAAGATTACTGGAAAGCATTTCTATAGATAAAGAAATACAAATAATATATATGGACTCTGCCCGGTCTGATAAAAGCACGTCAATAGGATAAATGTTTTTCAAGTGGGATGAATTTTCTGTAGTTAAGCAAGCTCTTTCTGTACAGGTCTTACGCCATTAAAACACGAGTATCACTATACCGGTGAATTGAGTGTACCGGAACCTAGTACACCGGCTCGAATGCAAGTTCGCTTCCCTCTCAGTAAGTAATATGAGTCATTTTTAAAAGGAAGATTTTAATCTTGATTATTATTAACCTTTTGTAAGTTTAAAGTTATATTGATTCTACTTTCCAATGACGTACAGAATGAATCTGATTAATTTATTAGAAAGACTATGAAGCAATAATATTCAAATAATTTTCATTGTTTCTTTTTTTTTTTTTTTTTAGGTGTAGCAGGTAGTGCATCTCACATAATCTTCACTACGGATTATGACAATTATGCTGGAATATTTACTTGTCAGAAATTAGCTTTTGCCCATCGACAAAGTGCAACTATACTTTCAAGACGTCGTGATCTTGACAGGGATACCATAGATAATATAAAAGCAAAATTGTCAAGCTATGGAGTAGATCCTTATGATCTTAGTATCATTTCTCAGAGTGGTTGTCCACGCGGTAATGATACTTTAGACATAAACATTGATCCTAGCACTTTTACTGCTGAAAGTCTTGGCAGTGCCGTACGTAAAGCTGGTGAAAAAATTGGAGATGGTGTTCAATGGGTTGCCAGTGCTGGTAGCAAAGTTTATCATAAAATAGCTGGCACCGAAGAAAGTACAACTCCTTCGAAATCAGAGGAAACGCATAGGGTTGTACCAATGATGAAAGATTCTGGGAAATACGAGACTAACGAAGTCGAATGGATTCCATAAATATGTTTAGAAATAATATTGTCAAGTTAAAAACGAACAAAAACATGATATTAGGGTAAATGTTTATTCTTTTTCTTTTAATTTTTTAAACATGTATTGTATACTGTTAAGAGAAATAAGATATAGAAAGGAACGTATTGAGATGATCAGTTTATAATTTTAATTTTATAGAAAGAAGTATACATATTTCTGATTTGTTAAATAAGAAATATCAACGTTGACTTAACTTCTCGTAGAGATATATTATAACAAATATAATAATAATAATAATAATAATCTATATAAACGCAATAATTTTCCAATTTTGTCATTTATGCGTCCAACGAATTGCTTTAAGGATATCAAAGAGTTTAATGAAATATTTTAGTGTCACTGACGTCTACGATAAAATCAGTCAATGTGAAAATGAGTAATATCTATCTACACGGTGGCGTGTTAGTCAATGAAAAATAATTTTCCTTACAAATTGATGATAAGAGAGAAAAAAAAATATCTTGTTAAGATAAGTGAAAGATCATGAGTTAAAAAATAATTTGTTTATTAGAAAAATTATATACAATTTTTATCGGGTGATTAGATCAATTTGAAATGTCAGATTACGTCTCTTTGCAATGTTATAGTTACTTATAAACATTCGTCACGTGATTATAGTCTCCCCTAATACGTACGATGTGTGCTGTTCACGAATATTAGTGTCCTGACGTTCGAACGAACGGATCAGTCCGTTAGCAACCGCTGAAGAGTGACTAACAAATTTTTGTCTGCTTAAGAAAGACTAATATTTTAAGGTGGACCATTATTATTCTTCAAATCGACGAGTCATAGAACAAAATAAAGAAGGTCGACGCTTTTTCTCACCTGATATCATAGAGTTGTCAAGACAAATTTAATGTACGTAAATTTAATTACACGCTCCTTAATTAATTATTATTATTATTATTCGAATAATTAATTTTTTCTTTTGTTTTTCTTTTTCTCTTAATGAATTGTATTCATTATATTGGAGTAATTGTAATTTTGTAACACTAATACGTCGAACACTTTATTTGCAATCATTTGGTTTAATATTTGACGATTAATTAAATTTGAATAAAAGTCGATTAATCCTTTTTGATAATATTAACGCACGTTAGACGAGATATTTTGTAATTATTTTTTGAATGAGAATGTTAATTATTAGTAATGATAATGAATTACTGATGATACGAGGTGTATACTGTTAGGCTGATCGTTCCGCACTGCACCACTTTCCTAGTGTACTCCTTTTAGGGGTTGCGCAGGTCAGATGCCCTATACCACCTATGTGTGTTGTGTGTCGCACCTGTCAGTTCGTTTTCCAAACCCTCTGACAGTTTGATTTCTACAATTTTCTCGAGTCGACACGCTCTCGCTCTCTCTCTCTCTCTCTCTTTTTTCTTTTCTCTTCTTCTTTTTTTTTCTTTCTCAAATTGGTTAATAAACTACTGACATCTTGATCTTTAGAGGAGGTAAGGTCGAATTTATTTAAACCACAAATTTGAATAAATATATTTTACTCGCAATCATGCTGACAAAAATTTCATAATTTATCCAAATAAAAATATCGATATTAACATTCAATTGAAGGAATAAGAGGGGAGAGACAGTTAGCTTCGGCTAACTAAATGTTAATAACAAATTAAAATGTAAAATTAATTGAAGTAGTAGATCTAAAATAATTAGGATAAGTAGAGAATTGATATTTTAAAAGCTTGATATATATTTGATTTTTCTTTCGTAGCTGTTCACATTTTTCATTATTTTTATATCAATAATTATTTTCTTTTTTTTTTTATCGCATTTATTCTTTCATTTTTATTTGATTTATATTTAAAACAAAAAACAACAAAATTCCTTATCTACTTTATGTAGTAAACTATTTATATTTCTTTTTTTATATTTAAAAAAAGAAAAATTGTTATCTACGATTGAGAAATGTTGGTGGTAGACTTTTATCAAGTAGATAACAATCGGTGAAACGTATAAGTCCATTGAAGAAGAAACCTTAGGAAAGAAAAAAAAGTAAACATTTCATATCTTATTATCGATTCAAGTTTAATTTACTCGTTCTTTTGTTTTGACCTCGTATAATGCAAAATGCCAACCATGTGGTATCACCCATCTATCGATTTCTGCATTATTTTATCAAGTTCATCCTTATTTTCAAAAATAAATCTTTATTTCTAAACGATCATTTGAATATATTTGAATATATGCATATTTTATACAATTCATTCATATTTCACGCATATATAAATCTATTTAAATGATTGTTTTAGAATTGTCATTGATTTATCATTGATTTATCATCGATCAGCATTTTAATAGTAACGATAATCGATTAGATTCGTTCAGGTTCAAGGGACAAGTACGTCAATAAAAGCAGACTGACCCACATCTCATCATCGTTAATACGAGATCAACGTTGCTCTCGTTTGAATCTAGTGATTTCAGGATCAGTCTCTCGAATTAGGACGATTCAATCGGTTGTCTCGTTTAACAGGGTCAATATCGAGAATAATTTGCAAGTTATGAGATCAACCCCATCAACGTTTTCAATACTTTATATTTGATTACAAATAATCTAATATATTTTTTTTTCTCTAATAAATATCATTATTTTTTTCAAATTATTTTATTTTTGTGTGCGTATGTGTTTTTTTTCTTTATAGGTTTTAAAGTTTTTCTTCATCATAGCAATTATCTTCAAGGAACGCAAACATAGTCATTAGTTTTGCAATTGAGAATGTCAATGTCCATCCATCCATTGAAAAGAAAGAATCTTTGAATTTCAAAAGTGTTTTCAAAAGAATTTTCTATTTCATTTAATATAACTAATAAAATAGGATAAAAATAAATTTAAAAAAAAAAAAAAAATAAGAAAGAATGACAAATCCAAGATTTGTATTTTAATTGAATTTTAATTTAAAAAATTCGTCAATTAAATAATCTATTATTATTTTGTTTATTTTAACACAAGGTTACTGGTTTAATAATTCATTTTGTAAAATTCGATGAGAGAGTCGAAAGTAGAAAGAGATGTTATACGAAAAAATATTAAATAAGGAAAGTAATAGCTTGTTATAATAAGATGAAATCGAAGTCGAACGTTCAATGTCAGATCCTTCTTCGATCTTGACCTAAATTGAGATACGCCATTGTATTGATGTCTGTTTCGTAATCATTTCTTTTTCATTTTTATTATTATATATGTATAAAAACATACAGAGCGTAAAAAATTAAGGAAATGAATGAAAAAAACCTTGAGTAAGAATTTACTTGTAGATTTTGTCGTTTCATTATGCGATATATTATAAACATCAAACTCTCTGAGCAATTTTTCTTTCTTAGCTTTTTATCCTATTCCTTTTTTTTACAGTTAGTTTTTTTATGAAAATAAAACTTTAAAATTGAAACAAACATTGACTAACGACTATGCTTAAAGAAATTCTCTTTCTTTTATCTTCGAAGGTTAAATGATGACTTTGAAAAATACATCGACTATATCGACTTCACGATTTGACGAATGCACGATTTTGTAATATCCTTTTTTTAGTTGTTTTTCGTGATCTCATATTGATTTCATTTTTATAACAAATTTATTGAAAATTGTTATTTCAAAATTATGAGAAAAAAAAAATAAAGAAAAAAGCAACAAATTGTTGAAATGATTTGTAGTATATAAATGATAATAAAAATAGTGAAAAAAGTAAATGTAAAAGATCGCAAAAAGCTTCCAGATAAAGTATAGTTATCGAGGACGATGAGTTTGACCTGGTCGGAAAGAAGAAAAATAAATAATAATGGTTAATATATCAGGCTAGTCGACATTTAATCGATCTACCCCTCAAATGACTCGTTAAAGTGACCGGGATACGTGCAGGCCAATCTGTTCGACTCCGACCCTCCTCACCAACGAGCAATTACTATCCTCAAATACATATTATGTATATAGAAGGAAACATTCTTTTATGCTATTGTATGAGATTTTAACTACTCCCCTTGCTTATTTCAAACGTTTAGAATGACTTGTATACAATTTATAAATGAATTTTACTTATTTTACATTACAGATGCTGACTGCTTCATTATGCATTTTGTCGGTCCTATGGGCCCAAAAAACAATGGCAAGCGTGCTTGTTGCTGATACAACAATGTCCAGAATGGTAGAGTTAAATGCTGGCGAACCAATTTGTTCACTTTACAATGATAGAGGTGTAATCCAAAGAATGATACTCGGTGCTGATCCGAAGAAAGTTCGGCAAATGCCAAGCAATCTCGTTGCTGATCTTGAAGAAACTTGTTTGGCTTCTAAAGTAAACGTAAAACTTATTGAAATCAAATTATCAAACTTTGAAACAAATTCTCTTTTATTTATATATCGTGTCTAACAAAAATATAACGAACGTTAGATCGTATAAAAACTTTATGAACGTTTCATACATTTTTAGTTGTTATCATTGTCTTTTTTATTTTATTTTTATTTTTATTATAATACGATATTTCTTATCGCACCTGCCTACCTGCCAAGTTGTCAAGGATAATGATTTTATACTTGATTTTATACTTACTTTGTTTAAAAGAAAACAATTGAGTATGTCAATTAATTTTTAATGTAACTTTGTCATTAGAATCGAACACCTGCAGGTGGATTGATATATCCTGGAACAAAATGGTGTGGACCTGGAAACGTGGCAAGTTCTTACGATGATTTAGGTCAACATGCAGCAGAAGATGCATGCTGCAGGGAACACGATCATTGTCCAATAGCAATGTCCTCTCAACAATGTATTCATGGTATATGTAACAATTCACCTTTCACACGTTCGCATTGCGACTGCGATGCCAAGTTTCGAAGATGTTTGCAAAATCTTAATACCGAGGTTGCCAATACTATCGGTGCCCTTTTCTTCAATGTTATACAAGTAACTTGTTTCAAAGAGAGACGGCCATGTTCCCAATGGCAAAGGTATTTTTACTCAAAATCTTCTCAATGATTCATTTCTAAAGTGCATCAATTTATTTGTCAGGGTGAACCACAAGTTTCTTTCCAAGGTGTATTTTAAAATCAATTAAGTCTGTTTATTTCGAAAGTGGTCTATAAGTCCAATCATATATTTTGAAATTGATTCCAACGCAAATCCTTCAATATCTATCTCGATTCGAATATAAATGGACTTAGGTCACTTACAAAATAAACGGCTCAATTATTTTCTTTTGCAATTTTATCAACTTTTTAGTTAAGTTCGATTATCTTTACAAGCTAGGATTGTAGTTTTTTTGTTTGTTACAATCTATCAAATATTTCTAATCATAACTTTTGGTTAATCCTTTATCATTAATAACAATTAGATAAGATTTTGTTTTTGTATAAACAAATATAGATTATTATTAGAAGAATGCATTCCACTTTGGAAACATTCACCGAGTTACGAGCCACTCAATTATAACAACCGTATGGAAACTGGAAGAAGTAACAATAATATAAACGAGTCACCACTGTTAAAGTTCACCGAGGATATAATTGCCAGAATAAGACGTTTCCAAACAAATATTTCCAATTACTTTCAAAATCATTGGAGAGAAATATTAAATGACCATTGAAGTATTAGAAAATTATGTGTCTCTTTTTTTGTTTTTACTAATTTAATTAGTATGTTTATTAATTCATTGATAACAGAGAAAAATGGTGGTTGTGATGGTGGTAACGGTGATGGTGGTTGTGTGGCAATAATACTAAAAACGATACTAAAATAATAATCTTTGTTTTTTTGTTTGTTTTATATACTAACATTTACCATGTTTTTTCATAAAAGTGATTTTATAGAAATGATTTATATATATATCATTAATTTAATCTTTGTATTATGTTTTTTTTTTTTTACAGGAATGGTTACGACGAAGCAGTGTCAAATAGATTGTGTTCGCAGTATAAGTTTCGGCCAAGTGAAAAATACGTGCCATTAATGCCATTGAATATGAATATATGAATTCGGAAACAGCAAAAGGACAGCCCAGGTGGTAGTTAAAATAAAAAATAAAAAAGAAAAAACAAAAGAAGAAGATCGCTCAAAATACCTAAACTACTCAAACTACCACGATAAGAAATACGTGATAATTTTCTCGCGTTTTATTTCACATTAAATAGTTGTCCTTTTTGCTTATCGGAATTCTATGAAGTGTTATGATGGTGTGGACTAATTTCGAATCCAATCGAATACCCAAGACTCTATAATAATATTAATAATACATATCGATTCTATGGGTTTTCTTGTTTTATATATTATGAATAATTCGTACCGCGCGTATGTAGTTTATACAATATATTATTATCATAGCAATATTAATTATATATATATATACATATAGATTTAGATAATAATTAATTTATAATTATTATTGATAAAATATTAAATATGTAGTCGTTTAAATATTTTATATTATAACTCGTAGGGTAAACTTTAATTGTATTTCATTATATGGGTAATAATCAAAGATTATATATTTTAAAGATATAAGATAGAAAGTGTTAATAGTAGTAGTGTTAATTTCAAATAAAATACGTTTGTTGAGTCGGTGAATTATTTCATAATTTATAACTTGTGAAAAATAATATCTCGTATTATGTTTCTAAAATTGATTCTTTTGTTGTTATCGATATAAAGAGAAATCTATAATATCGACATGTCGATAAAAATGGTATCTAGGTAAATAACTTGTTTTATCGACTTGTGATATTTCTTTTATACTCCATTGATAATTGATTTTTCTTTGTGGATAACTAGCAATTATTATCTAAAGGTAATGTAGATCATTTACCATGCTACACACATTATCTATCGATCTTAGTTCTTCATTTTGATGTAGACGTCGCTAGTAGTATATTCTTACAGAACTTATCCACGTGAAGTCGTTCTAACCTAAAAAATCTAGTTTACACGTGAAAGGAATTTTGTCATGTTTGTTTAGTTAATTTATATTTATTATTAATAAAAATGGAAGAAAAAGCAATTAGAATGGAAGATATCCTTAATGAGGATTCGTCGTCCGACGACGATATACCAAATATATGTGAAATTAGTGAAGAGAATAAAAAGAAAATATCTTTTGAACAAGATATTCCAAAGGGAAAACCTAAATCTGGTAGAATATGGAAAGAACCAAAAAAGAGGTAGATATATCATCATATCTCAATAATTCTTAATAATTTATCTTTTATAATTATGTATATTTAATTGTATTTATTTTAGATTTTCATCTATTGTCAAAAGTAGAGGTATCAAATTATCATTTGAAAAGAAACAAAAATTAAAAGAGAATTTGCAACGCGCTAAAGATATGTCAAGAGCTATCAAAGAAAAAAAACAAGCAGAGAAAGAGGCTAAGAAACAACGGAGGATAGAAAATTTGAAAAGAGCTGAGGAAAATAGAAAGAAGGGTGAAGTTGTACAAATTGTGAGTATAGATATTATTATATTTGTTCTTTTCTAAGATTAATCAAATTAAGTAATATTTTCTTCATTCTATTCGTTTTGTTAATTTATCTCTTCCTCAGATTAAAAATACCGCTAAACTAAAGAGAATGAAAAAGAAACAACTGAGGTTCATTGAAAAAAGAGATACGAATTGACGCTTGAAATAAATAACAAGGTAAATTTATTATTTTATAGAATAACTGGTTATTTCATGAAATATTTGACCAGAAGGGTTTAATCAAAATATGAAATAGATAAAGATTATGTACTTTTATATTAGTTATATTATATAAAATACTAGAACGCAATTATAGTTAAAATAACAAAGAGAAATTGTATGGCCAAGTAGAAGAAAAATATCCGGAGAATAAAATTTGTTTTTCTTTATTTTGAAATTATTTCAATTCTTTATTTTTGGGCCTCCTAAATGAAGGTTAATAATCTATCTAATTTTGAGATAAGGTTTCTCTATTTATTTAAGGGATTTAATTACATTTCCTACGACGACGACAGCTATGACAATTACAAAAGAGTGTTTATTATAATTATATTGTTGTATAACAAAATTCTTATTATATGCTTTCTCAAAGCGTTTAGTTATTTCAAGAAATATCTACTTATATTCTATGAAATAACATAATTAAACGTTTTAACGATTACATTGTATTATTTTTACACAAGTTATGCCACATCTTCCTATAATGGCGTCTTTATCGATTGGACAAAAGCTTTTAATTCCTTCGCAATATTCTCATTATGACTATTTTTGAGTAGCTGCAGAAAAGAAGAAGAAGAAAAAGAAAAAGAAAAATAACATGAAAGTAATAACAATAATATGGATTCGTTAAGTTGATTAATTCTCACCGCATTGCGTGTCCACTTGGGTAAACTACTTTGGTATGTTTGTACTAAAAACCTAGAAAAATTGTAATAATTAAAGTCCTTTAAAGATAATATATTGACAAATGACAATAATAAAAACAAACCTACCTTTCATCTACCAATAAAATGGCACCCCAATCATTTTTGTGCCGAATGCACCGACCTACCGCTTGATTGTAAGCTCTAAAGGCTTGAATATTGTACCAATCGGAACCCCTAAGTAGTCCTCTTGAAATGTTTTTGTCGTTGTATTCCCACTTCATTTGGATATCCTTGCTACTTTTTACAGGATATGGAATCCCGATCTAACAAACATCATAGAATACCTTTTAATTGAATCTCACACTCACAATCGTGATATTAAATAATAGTCAATTAAAAGTTTACCGTAATAACGCAACGCGCCTCGTCATCGCTGAAGTCAATACCTTCGGCGACTTTACCACGAAATACGGCAAATAAAATGGCACCTGAATAGTGCTGGTCTTTGTTATTATCAACATTTACTTCCGACGTTTCGTTTATTACTTCACGATATTGTTCCATCACATCTTTTAGATCAGAACTCTCCCGAGGTTCCACAAAGATCTTTTTATATTTTTCTATTTGTTGCCAAATTTGAGTAAATTTCCATCTAGTGATTTGATTATTCATCATTATATATGATGAAAAGAAACATAATATTCCATGAGGTACGGCTTCGATGACTTTAAGTATCAATTGACCTAGTTCATCCTGTCGATATGTAATAAACAATCAGTTATTATTGTATAATAATTCATTATTTGATTATAAAGTCAAAAGGAAGCAAAAATCTATTGTTAAAAATGACCTGGAATTGCCAAGTATTCACATTGGTAAAGTTAGCCTTTAGAAGCGTTCCACTTGGTCCCTTTGGCACGCATTTTACAAACACCCGATCTTTGCTGATAACGTGATCGGTAAAATGGATATCGGCAAATTTCGTTCCAAGTTCACTCTCAAAAGATTCCGTTGGGGTTAAGGTACCTGATGCTAAAATAATTGATCTGACCTGTCGTGCCAAAGGGCCAAATATGATAGCCGGGTTCAAGCAAATCAACCTAAATGTTCTTAAACGTTTTCCTACTACCTTTCGTGATAGCATCCAACTTTCGTTTAAATTCTAGAAGAAGAAGAATAAAGAAAATAAATATAACGAAATTATATTTAGAAAAATAAAAAGTATCTTTACATACTTTGTCAGTTAGATCCGTACAGTACGATTCGTCTATATAAGCTTTGTAATCATTTTCATACTCTTGCGTTGCTATTGTTTTTAAAGCAAGGGTTATACTGTGAAGAAGCATTTTTGTTATTCGTGAAATTGTTAAATTTTTGTTATACAATTTAGTATTATGAACATTTTCTTTCGCTTTATTAAATTCATCTATAACAAATCGTACAGCCACTGCTAATTTCGTGATTCCTTCCAAACCAATATCGTTCATTTCCAATAATCCTATTAATTGGTTACCCGTCCATATAGAACTTGTCATTTCTGCACTATTTTTCTAAAAATATACAATAATTTTATGATTAATTTCATCAAAATCGATTAAATGAAATAAAAACAAAAGAAAAGAAAACAAAAAATACCGTATAAGAGAGGGGAGTTTGATTCATGAACTCTTTAAGCATAGTCACATATTGTTGGATGGTATTATAAGCGTCAAGTTCAACAGGTTCAATGAATGGTTGAGATAGTAACACTTTGCAATTGTCTATGATAACTTGTAGTTCGACTGTTGAAAATTGGGCACCAGCAACTCGGCGACAGATATCTTCGATATTATGACCCTCGTCAAATATGACAACTTGATCTCTTAAATTGATTTGCATCTAAACAAAATCAACATGATCCTCTATTTGAGTTAAGAAAGATAGAGAAAGATTATTCATTCAGATTTCATCAAATTTTGAAATAGATTTTTTAATTTTTTTATTTTTATTTTTTTCATGCAATTATTATATAAAAACTAAAAAAAACATGATTTTCTTCTTACGCTTTCACGAATTTCTGGATCAATGATATAATTGTACGGACAAAAAATAATGTCAGCTTCTTCAATTAAACTTTTAGTACCAAAATATGGACATAGATTATACTTTTTACCAACTTTAACTATATCTTCTATATCAAATGGCATCGACATTCCTTTACATTTCAATTGAGCAAAACTTGATAATAACTTTTTATTGTTATTATTGTAAAAAGGACATTCGGATGACTGTAAATAAGAAAAAGTATGTATTTCTTCGTTTAAAAGACAATTCATTAGATTTTATTCATTTGTTCATTTTTATTATTAACTTGAATTATATAATAACCTTTTCAGGATCTAGTAGATTATGACAAAGTTCAGTTTTATTTCCAGGAACATCTTGAATGCAAGTGTGTTCACGACTACTTAGTATAGTCATTCTGAAAAGGTAGACATTATTTTAATCATTTGTCTTATATTACAACATATCAAAAATGATCATTAGTTTTTTTTAATTAATTTAATCATTTAATTGTGTTGTTACTTTGTATTTTTATAGACGGTTCTACCAAGTTCCTTCACGACTTGTTTTATTTGACGATGCGTTCTGGTAGTATAATAAATTTTTGGTGCCCTTTTTTTGCATTTTCCCCTTAAATAAATAAAATCTCAATCAATACTAATCTTTCACGTGCATTACATCATCTATATATATTAAAAGTATATATTATTATATTTACTCTTCATCGCCAAAAGCATTGCACAAATTAAACATTTTTTCGTAGAGAGGTTCATTTAATTTTCTAGTACTTGTAAGATTCGTTGTATCGGACGCAGAAGAAGAAGAAGAAGAAGAAGAACCTATCATCAACAATTAAAATATAAAATGAATAATGAATTTGAAATGGTTTGAAATAATTTCAATATGAAATACCTTTGTTATTTTGTTCACCACAACATTCATTCTTCTTATTATTGCCTTCCCCCTTGCCAACTATTTCTACAAAATAAATAAATACAAATTTTTTACACATGTACCTTAAACATTCGTCACACTTGAAACAAAGGGATTTGTTCTTTGGCTTATTTTTTTTTTTATTTATTTTATTTTTTTTACATAGCTTTACACGAAAGGGGATGGAGGCGGAAGGGAAGGAAAGCAAAGCAAAGCAAAGCAAAAAAGGAAAAAAAGAAAACGAATGTCAAAACAGTGATCGCTGCTCTTGTTAGCACGTGAAAGGATCATGGGGATTCTATTGGTAAAGGCCAATAGAACGATTTAATCCTCTCGTTGGTGAAAAAAGTACAAGAGAAATCGTAGGGAATAGAGATATATAAGGATCTAAAGGTCGTCTACTCGAGAAGGAAGGATTGAAAAGGAGAGATAACAAAAAAAAAAAAAAAAGAATAAAAAAGGAAAAGGAACAATTCAAAGGATGAAGAAGCGTCTTAATCCTTTTCCTAAGATTTAAGGAGTCAGAAAAATAGGAATGAACGTTCTTCAATGACAATTGTTATCCTTCAATTGGCTTGATATGTATGTATTAGTAGTATATGTATGTTTAATCGGATTTCGATAAATGAAGTTGAGTTTTAAAAGGGATATTTGAAAGCACGATTGAAAAGATAACCAAAGAAAAATTTTATTTGCCAGGCGAATGGATCATGATGATCAAGAGAGAGAGAGAGAGAGAGAGAGATCATAATATTTATTTTTATTCGGATCTTTCCGAGGGTTTAAATCATGGTTTAAATAATAAAATGAAAGAAAATATATATATATATACATATATTATAAAATTAAATTATATAATATTAGGTGAACCGGAAAGTAATGTCGTTTCTACAAATGTCAAATTTTGTATATTTTTTTGTTCTTATCAAAAACCGATTGATTTTGATCAATTTGATATTAAAAATTTGCATATTAGATGAAAAAAAAAGGTTTTTGATAACAAGGTTGTTATCAAAGTTGTTATGTTATTGATTGAAAATATAAATTTGTTAGAAATTTATTCGTTTCAATTTAAGATTAGAGAAAGCAACATTACTTTCCGGTCCACCTAATATACAAATTATAAAATATAAATACTTTTAGTATTAAGTACTATATATAAGTACTTTTATATATAATTACATTTATTCGTATATCTTAAAATTTATTCGGTATACTACGTTTCAATGATGCTAGTTTAAATGACTAGGATGAAATAAAAATAAAAAAAAAATAAAAATAAAAAACCATTAATCCAATCTTAACTAAGAATGATTAAAAGTATAAAAAATAATAACAGTGTTTTGAAAATAGAAAAAAAAAAGGAGACAAAGGAAAAAGAAGTTTGGCTGTTATCATCTATCTCTATCTTTTCCTCTTCTCACTTTCAACTTCCCCTTGTTGGACTCTCATCGTCAGTGGTGGCTTAATTGTCCATGAGCATCCGCTTGCGCAAAAGAGAAATCCGGTACGGCAGGGTCGAAAGGGCGGCTCTCAAGGGTGCGATAACTTTCGGCACCGACTGTATCGATGCTATACGAGAGAGAGAGAGAGAGAGAGAGAGAGAGAGAGAGAAAGAGAGAGAATGAAAGAGAAAGAGAACGACGAGAGCAGCCTCAGGGGTTTTCTCCCCTCGGGTGTTGGGGTGTGTTTCGTTGCCTGGCAACGACATCCTCCAAGTCCGTGGCTCTCTGATTGGCCCCCGTCCCGCTTCTCCTGTCTTAGCCTCACCCTCGAGCCCTCCATCTTCTCGTCCTTCTCCCTTCACCAATCAGACCCCCTCATGGGTTCTTCCGATGAAAAGCATCTTTCGAGAACGAATACGCGATCCTATACTCTCTCTCTCTCTCTCTTTCTCTCTCTTTTATATTTTTATCTTTTTCTTTTCCTTTTTTTTTTCTTCGAATATACAAGCGTGTGTGTCTCTTTCTATGTGTTAATAAAAACATTTTTATAAAAATTACCAATTAACAATAATATATAATTATGTTTTTTTTTTTTTTTATCACGATTTTAATCAAGAGAAATATTTTCTATATTATCAAAAACAAACGAACGATTCGATTTAACAATAAATTTATGGGAAATGAGCAGAGTTTGACTCATTTCAAATTTTGTTGCTACATATATTATAAAATATAAATAATAATAATAATAATAATAATAAATATATAAATGTATATATAAACGTAAATTAAAAAATGTAATATGTGATATAGTTTAATTAAATACTGATATATCACTGTTGATAATTATTTCAAAGTTTATATAATGTTATTTCAATTTACTTATATATTTCTTAGTAAGGGAGGTTATAATGTAAGGGAGGATTTACTATATATTAACCTTCTTATTACTATATAAATTATTCTTTTCTGGTATAATAATAAATAAATAAATAATATAATATAAAATAAAAATAAATAAAAATAATTAATATAAATGAAATTATATTAGATATTAGAATAATAATATAATATTATTATTTTTTTATTAAATATATATTGATTTTTTTAGTTACATAATGAAATTTCTCCCTTTTAGTCAACCCTTCATTCAAACAATGTTTGTAAGTCATTAAAACATAATGAACAAAACATTCGTAAATTTAGTGTTAATAAAATGACATTTTGTACGAAAGACAAATCTCTCTCTCTCTCTCTCTTTCTCTCTCTCTTTCTTGAAAGAGAGAAGAGAGCAAAGTTTAATTCACAGCTGCACGAAGACAGAACTTCGACTGTGTCATCGATTACCATAATTCCGGAAACACATCATGGTGGTCCTCGTATTAACTTTCTCTCTATCTTGACTTATTCGAAGGTCTGCAATTGGCAGAAAGAATTTTTTAAATAACGATTAAAAAAAAGTAAGAGGGACAGAGAGAGAGAGAGAGAGGAAGAGAGGAAGAGATAAAGAGTAAGAAAGAAAAAGATAGAATCGTTGTGGTTTTATGCTTGCCAATCGACTGTTTGTTTATTCAGCATATGCGCGTTGTGAATGAGAGTGGAACGAACGAGATAGAGAGAGATAGAATGATCGACGTGAAACGAGTTCATTCATACTTGGACCTTGTGTGTTTCTGAATGGACGTGAAATGTTAGATATCGTACGATCACGCGTATGATATTAAAAAAAAAAAAAAAAAAAAAAAATAAGGATAATTAAGATAACGAATGGTTGATTATACGTTCTCTTTAGTTGATTAATTTATTCGATGATAAGAGAATTATCTTTATTATTTGTCTCTCTTTATTACTTTTCTCTTTCTTCATCTTATTTCTCTAATGTGTATCTCGATAAGAGATAAAAATAGAAAGAAACTATTGTCCAATATTATATTTTTATTAGTATCATCCTGTATTATACACAATTTGTAGCTATTTTTTTGTATATTATGAAATAATGATGACTGGGATTATTAAACTGTTAACCGGGGAATTCCCTCCCTTTTTAATTACGTACACCTTTTTTTGTTATTATGTTTTTATGTCGAGTCATAAATAACTTCTGTTTTCTATGAGACAAAGACTAACGTTTCTGTCACTAATAAGTGCACGACACCACTTTTCATGGTGTTTTTTTTTTTGTTTACACTCTTTGTATTTGTTGGACGTATCTATTGAATTTTCGTCTTTTAAGGTCGTATCTTCAGAACGAAATTTTACAAACCAATTTCTGACTGCCTTATGAGTTATCAATCCTTCACCTGTATACGCTGTATATTTTTTCAGTTGCCACTTTAGTGCTATTGCTTTGTTTCAATTTCTAAAGCATATTACATCTCAAATATGCACTTTTTACTATCCATTTCAGAAGTTAAGATAAACTGTTAAATGTAACATTGACTACATCAAAAATTTTAACAGAAGACTAACTGAATCTTCATTTATACAATGATATCAAAAATTTCGTTTGTTTCGGTGACTTATAGTAGGTAAATACGAAAAATAGATTCTACAGAAGTTACTTATGACTCGACCTAATATTTATTTATTTATTATTATTATTATAATATTATATATACACATAGCGTATTTTTTAAAATGTAAGATAGTTTTTGAGGTAAAATGAAATAGAAATTAACATATTACGGCAAGGGATTGCAAGGTAGAGAAAATTTTTTAATTTCATGGAACTTAATAAAATATATATACACACACACACATACGTACACGTATATTACATTAATCATGTACGTAGGATCGAAATAAAAAATATATTATTTCGCAAAAATGTAGAAAATGAAATGTTACAAAAAAAAAAAAAGAAAGAAAAAAATAAGAAAAAATAAATATACGACATATCAGAGGGGGGTTTTTTTTTCTTCTTTCGTACGTACTCGGAAAATTATTTGTGGGATTCGTGATTTATCGGAGGGTTGTGATTGCTATCGGAGAAATATATTTTGTCGTTGAGGGTTTCAGGGTGGTGGTGGTGGTGGTGGTGGTGGTGGTGGTGATGGTGGTGGTACGAGTGAATGTTTCGAGTACTTCGCAAAAGCTCGCAAGAAAGGAGGAGCGTAAAGAGAGGGTTGAGGGAGAGATAAGAGAGAGAGAGAGAGAGAGGGGAGAGGGCTGGTAAAGAAAGTCGAGGACCAATTAATTCGCGGCTACGACTCGATTTACGAAATCGTCGCTAATTGGCGGAGATTGCGGGCTTTCGGCGGCCGAACGAGCTCTTTACTCGGAGACAAAAGCCATAAAATGAGGAGAGAAGACAGACAGACAGACAGACAGACTAACAGATAGAGAGAAAGAGAGTGAGAGAGAGAGAGAGAGAGAGAGAGAGAGAGAGAGACAAATGACAACACGAACGTCATCCCTTTCTCTAATTTTCTCTAATTCCTAAGGTGATTATTCGAACGATGAGAATAAGGGGAAAAAAGAAAGAAATAAAATGGAGATGAGAATTATTCAATGTGAATTAATAATATTAACGCGTTTTTTTTAATTTTTTTTTATCGAAATCGATGATCATTCTTTATCAATATAAAAATGAGCATGGCATAATTGATATTTATTCAATTGCATTTTCAATGAATAATAAACAAAAGATATAAATTTTTATTTTTTTTCTTTTATTTTTTTTTATCGATTCGATAATTAACGTGAAGATTGTTTTTTTTTCTCTTGTTTTTCGAAAGAAATGATAGATAATAGAAGAGAGAAAGAGAGAAAGAGAAGAAGAGATCAATCAAAGTAATGAATCGTCTGCGAGAAGCAGCCATTAAGAGGTTTTGTTGATTAAACGAAAGCACTCTAAAGTAAATGCAATCCTTTTTTCACCTAAGGATTCATCCTTAAGATTGCCTACTTCAAATCGTCTCTCTTTTTCTCTCTTCATTATCTATATATATTTATGTTTATACTATTTTAAAGAAAAACAAACAGCCACAATCTAAATTCGTAAGAAAGAAAGAGAGTATAGATCTTTTATTAAGATATATTAAAGTATTACAAACAAATAGAAAAAAAAGATAAATAGATTAAGAATGAGAAAGCAAAATAAAAAAAAAAAAAATAAAAAGTAAGGAAAAAAGACCAATAGAAATAGAAAAAAAAAAAAAAAAAAAAACTAGAGCTGTTAACAGAAAAAGATTCACTTTCTAAATTCACACAGTATTCTCATTTTCGTTGTCTCGATTAGAGAAGAGATAGAAGACCGATCTAAGCGAACACAACTATAGAGAGAGAGAGAGAGAAAGAGAGAGAGAGAGAGAGAGAGAGAGAGAGAGAAGCACACTTCGAAATGTAGATTAGAAAGAGCTGGAGAAGAAAAGGTAATGAGCTGCTGCGCCCCGATGTGTGTAGAGAGTAATAGAAAGGTAGAAAAGAGAAGAAAAAAAAAAAGAAAAAAATAGAGAATGAAAAAAAAAGTTTGAAATAGAGAGAGAACATCATCACTTGGTAGATCCATACAACCGCGTCCATATACACCCACACCCACCCATACATGCAACATGCGTACACGCATAGAATAGCATCGTCACGGGCACACAAAGCTGCACACGCCAATCGCGTGGTGTGTTTTTAACACGAGCTTGGAATCGTACTCCGCCGACCTTGTTGACGTTAACATGAACTTCCAAGATAGTAAAAAACAGAGATTATATATATATATAAAAAGAGAGAGAGAGAGAGAGAGAGAGAGAAAACGATAGAAATAGCAGCAAGCGACTGTGACAAAAGGGGGACAAAAGGCAACGGGGGTGGAGAATAAAATGTGTAAGAGACAGAGATAGAGAAAGATGTATAGATAGGCAGAAATGCAGAGAGAGAGAGAGAGAGAGAGAAAGAGAGGGTTGAGGGAAGCGTTGGTTGCGGGGGTTGGACTCTGCTCTTCGGTCGTCATGGCGACAAGCAATCCCGGGACCCACGGAGCTCGTCGCTAGGGTTGGTCGAAAAGGGTGGCCCAGGGCGTCTGCTGGCCAGGTTAGGCTGGGCATATTCCGAATGTCACTCGACAAGGGGACACAAGGATCTTCTCTCTCTCTCTCTCTCTCTCTCTCTCTCTTTGCCATTTACCCTACACACGTTGATAGAGTGAGGGAGAAAGGGAGAGGGAGAGAGAGAGATTGAACGAGGCAGGCCAAGATGGCCGACGACGCGACACCCACCATGTCAATAACACCCTTCTTCGACGCAAAGCAACGTTCTCTCATCCCCTCCATTTATTCTTCTCTTCTCTTTCAGTTGCGTTCTCTCTCTCTCTCTCTCTCTCTCTCTCTCTTTCTCTCTCGCTTGTTCGTTCGTTCGTTCGTTCGTTTCACAGCGACCCTTCAACGAGAACTCGACTACTCTCTTCGACGAATATCTCTCGGCACCATTTTCTCCGGCTTCTTGCCTTCGATGGTAATTAACGCGACCTCCTGCTCTCGATGAAAAGAGGAATGGGTGAGATGGTGAGGGGGTGAGTGGGAAGGCGGGAGGATCGAGAGGACACACGAGAAGCAGCAAGGGCGTAATTCCGTTAAGTGTCTTCGTAAACTTCGTTAGCTGCATTTCCCTGACATTACTCACCCTCCCTCCCTCCCACCTCTCTTCCTCCCACTTATACTGATGATGCCGGGGGTGTCTACGCGAACTTACCCCTTTTGCTTTTCAACTCTATACGAGTTGTATACTATACCTTTATGCTTATTATCTATTTTTATATGTTATACCTATCTCTCTCTCTCTCTCTCTCTCTCTCTCTTTATTTCTTTCATTTATTCTTTTTTTCCTTTCTTACGTTTATTTGTTTAGATATTTTGTAATGTTCACACAGGGTTGGTCGAGTGTTCTTTCTTTTTCTTTAATAAGAAGACGATTTAGATGTGAGAAGATCGACAGATGGGTCTTAGGAGAAAGAGATTTTCTTTTTTTTTTTCCTTTCGTTATATATTAGATATAATAATAATAATAATAATATTGTGGGAGATAAAGATAGATAGAAGTTTTCGCGCTCGAATGAACGAGAAAATATGTTACATAGAATATTTGCCCGTTCGCCGCCTTTCGACTATCGACTAAGCACAATGAACGCAGGGATCTGGAAATTCGAGACTATTCACCCATTTTCCGAGGTATAATGTTTTCGAATTGGGAACGATATGAAAAAAAGAAAGAAGGTATAAAAAAAAAAAAAGAAAAGGAAGAAAAAATATGAAGAGAAAGTAATAAACCATCATCGGAAAATGTTCTCTCCTTTTTTTTTTCTATAATTTTTTTCTTTTTACACTAATGTTAAATAAATAGCGTAAAAAATGATTACTTACCTGTACGTCGTGAGAGGTCATCGAACGTCCCTTCAATATCCTCTGTAACAGAAATAGGTTAGTATTTTACAATTTTTTATTTATTCTATGGAATTATTATTATTATTTTATTTGTGGTATATTTATTCTAATTGATGTATTATTTACAAAAGAAAAGAAGGAAAATGTGTGTGTGTGTGTGTGTGGGTTAATTAATAATTAATGTATAATTCTATGACAAAAATGTCATTAAAAAAATATTAAATAATCGTTTAAATTAGGACAAACATAAAAAAAGAAAAAGAAATAAATACGAAATAGGAAAAGGAAATAAGAGAAATAAGCTGCAATAAAATAACGATGAAATCGATAGAAAGTAAGTTAAGAAAATAAAGAAGAAAAGTATAGAGAGAGAGAGAGAGAGAGAGAGAGAGAGAGAGAGAGAGAAAAAGAGAAAGGTGGAAGCAGCAAGTAAAAGAGAACAAACGAAGAAAAATTCCCTTTGGCACAGTATATAGAACAAAATTGAATGGATCTTCGCTAATAGGTATTATATTTTTCATTCCTCTATTGGTGAAACGGATTATGGGCCTGTCAGAAGCCTAATAACTGGTCTTGAGGCCCCAGCACATCTGATACGAGAAAAGGACCCTTTCTTATATACAATGTGCGTATTAAATACTAATCGCAATGCGCACGAGCAAACGATCGCGCAATATAATGCGACGACGAGTTGTTGGGCGAGCCATATAGGATCTTCAAAGGGCACCGACTCGTACAAAAAAGAAAGAAGAAAGAAAAAAAAAACAGAAGTAAAAACAGGCCAGAGAAACGTTTAGTTCATTGCAATGATGACGTTGACGACGTTCTTCTTGTAACACGTTAACCCCTTACACTACTTTCAAATTTCTACGAGAATACTCGCAATCGATATGAGAAAAATCATTTTAATTAAATAAACGTATTTTTTCTTTTTCTTCTAAACGTGCACCCACACCCACACACACACACACATACATTTTCCTTCTTTTCGTAAATAATACATCAATTAGAATAAATATACCACAAATAAAATAATAATAAAAGACAAAATGGAAAGACTGGTTATATTTGGACAAATAATAAAATATTGTAAGGGTCCTCCATTTTGTTGTATGCAACCAAGCGCTATATTTTCTCTTGGAAAGAACTCGTGGCAATTTCCACCATGATTTCGGTTCACTTCGAAAAGGGATTGGTACGTGTGTGAGGGTGGTTTTCTGGCAAGGGAGTAAACCCTAAAACGAAGGGTTGCATCTCCTACTATATATATATATATATATATAGGAAGATTGATGGCGCGGAATTTCACCCCCCTAGGGACGGCCACAGAGATATAGCAGAGAATATTATCCCTCGGGAAGCCGTGTAATGAAAGCGTTTCGGCACCCCCATGCATCGTATCATCCCCTTGGCAATATAACTTACCTCTCTAGATAGAAATCCGTACATATATATATGTATATATAGATATGCATGTATAAACCTTAAAAAGAATCTTTGTGTGTGTGTTTATGTATACTGCCCAGCTGCAGAATAGGTACCACGCCCTCTTTTATTTTTCATCCCTTCGTTCGAGAATTAACGTCAGCGAGTAGGAGAAGATTGTTTAGTAAAGTTAAAGGCTCTGCTCTTAAATAATACAATCAATTGATAAGAAAAAGAAGAAGAAGAAGAAGAAGAAGAAGAAGAAGAAGAAGAAGAAGAAGAAGATCAATTATCAAATTCATAGACACATATCACGTCATCCCTTTGCGTATTCGTCGCCATTTTCTAATGAAAAATGGTGCCAATAAATTAGGTCGAACTCGATAAATAAACAATATTTCTAAAGAATCCTTATTAATAATAAGATTCTAACAAAATTAGTGAATTGATTGATCCCAATGACTTGTTTAGAAAAATACAAAAGAAAAAGTAGGATAAAGAGAAAGAAAAAAAGAAAATAAAGAATAATGAGGTCACATAGGAGAGGAATGAAGGAAAGGGCGGTAGGTAGGTAGGTAGGAAGGTAGATAGGTAGGTAGGTAGGTAGGTAGTACCGTCTCGAAGGGCAGAGAACGGAGCTCTCGATTCATCCTTGGAGAATAATATGACGGAAACGTCAGTCAATTAATAAGCATAACGAACCTGACTAATTTCCGCTTTTGTTTGGTGCCTTTGGATGGATGAATAAGTGGCCATTATGCGGCTTTTATGATTGGTCAGATCCGTATCGCGACAGCCGGTTCTGCTTTTGAAATCCCGCAAGTAGTGAACGCGCGCGCACCTTGTTGAAGGAGCTGAAGCTGAATTTGGTAGTGGTGCTGAAGGAGGAAGGAGGACGAGGAGGTGGAGGAAACTTTGCTAGAGCAAAACGCGCGGGCGGCAAGCCTTTTTATTATTTAACCGCGTACACGTGCCGACAACGGGAATCGTTTTCGTTTCTAGTCCCCTTAACCACCCCCCTACCTCCCTCTATCCACCCCCACCCACTCGCGTTCTGTATATGATATGTTCTCTTTCTTTCTCTTTCTTTTGAAGATAGACGTTTATCTTTTATCTTTCTCTGTCGGTCTTTCTCACGCGTGCTCTGCGACTCTGTCGGCAGGCAGCTCTTAATTCTTCTTAACCCTTTGTCCTATACCTTCTTTTCTTATACATTTTTTTTCTTGTATTTTCTTTTTTTTTTCCTCCCTAAAGAAGAAACCGCGACTCGAACTGAGATATCGATCGAAGACGATCAAGATTTAGATCGAGATCGAGATTTAGTTTTTTTTTTTTTTTAGTTTCTCATCAATCCCTAGATCTTTCTTTTCTTTTTTTCTTAACTTATTGATTTTATACAATTGATTTCGAATTTGGATTCGGTCAATCTATTTTTAGATGTATTTCTTTGATCAAAAGGTAACAACAAAAACTTCCGATAAGAATATAAAGAGGAAACTTAAACTGAACGTTACGTGTAGACCACTTTTTTTTTCTACCTTCTCTTATGTTACCTTTCTTATCTTATACTCTCGAGAAGATTGAAGGGAGATAAAAATATTGCAAGGTAAATTGCGTCATGGTTGTTGGACCAGGGTCCATAGACATTTTTGCTATTACTCGAGGGAAAAAGAAGATCGTTTGAAAGTTAACCCTTAAATGCTTAGATTGTTAGACTTTTAATTGTGATTATTCAAGTTATTTTCATCATACTTGTAAGATTGTAAGATTTCAAGTGTAAGATTTGAAGATAGAATGGAAGATGGGGTACACCCGTTAGATGTTTCCGTCGTAACCAGTTTCAACGACGAAGCAATCTCGCGAAGGGTGCGTTTACATCCTATGGAATCGAAGGCCTCGTCTCAATCCCTCTCCTTTTCCTCCCCCTTTTTCCTTTTTCATCATATATACCACGATTTGTCCCTTTCGCGAGAGGAAGAAAAAGAGAGAGAGAGAGAGAGAGAGAGAGTTGTCCCGAGGGGATTGAAATTAAAATGACAATGAGGGCAGATCCGAAGGGTGGCTAAAAATGCGTACCCTTGGCATCGGCCAATCAGCTGCGAATCCCAGGACGCCATCGCGACCCTTTTTACTCTATTTCTCCCTCTTTCTCTGCCATTCTCTCCTTCTTTTACATTTTTCTTTCCTCCTCTGCTTCTTTCATTCCCTCGTATCCCATCTCTTCCTTTCAACTTGTCTACTACTACTATTACTACCATTACTATGACACAACATACATACTTTTCTTCGTACTGGGAGAAGAGGAGAGCCCACGAAATGAAAACGTTTAATGCGCGGTGATCCTTTAGAGGAGTTTTCAAACCCTTCCGTTGATTTCGTTAGCCTGCTGCTGCTGCTGCTGCATGCTACGAGAGAGAGAGAAAGAGAGAAAAAAAAATTTACGAGCAAAATACGAAGTACATCGTTGGAGGAATCGTCGAATGAATGATAGGAAAAGGAGGGTTACCCTTTTTTTTTTATCTCTTTCTTCTTCTTTTTTTTTTTTATTTCTTATTCGAGAGAGTAAGTGGAATTTTGTTGATCCCTTCTCTCTCTCTCTCTCTATATATATATATATATCTTTCCTTCTATTCTGTTACCATCATTCAAAATCTTCTTTTTCATCTCGTCATTTATCTTTATTTTTGTTTTTTAACCTTTCAAAATTGACGGAAGATAGGGAGAGAGAGAGAGAGAGAAAATAAAAATTGCAGAAAAAAAACAAAAATGAAGAATTGAAGAAAGAGACAAAAAATCGAAATTGTTGGAAAGGAGAATGGAGAAAAGAAAAAAAAGAGAAACAAAAAACATAGATAGAAAACGAGAATAGTAGAAAGAGTAAGAAAATGAGGACGGAGTAATGGAGAAAACTGAACAAGAAACATATACATACAGAGAGAGAAAGAAAAAGACATATATTTTTCTCCACGTATACAGAGAGACACGCGTACGTAGAACGTCGAAGAGAAGTAAGTGGGAGAGAAGAGAAGAGAAGGGTAGGGGGGTAGGTAGAGAAAGAGATAGAGATAGAGAGAGAGAAAGAGAAAGGGGGATGGGGAGGGGGGTCTTTTCATGTTGCCTCCTCTCGGTTTTCCGCAGGAAGAGCACAACCCCTGGCTGCGTGTGACAGCCATTTTAATTCCGAGCCCCGAGGGGGCCCCTGATTTTCATTCCCCATGATGGAACATCAGCCGCCTTTCCTCATCCTCATCCTCATCCTTCCTTCCTTCCTTCCTTCCTTCCTTCCTTCCTTCCTTCCTTCATTCCCTCTTTCTTTCTTTCCTTCTTTCTCATCATTTCTTTTTAGCTAGTGGAAAGCTTTCAACGAGTAAGGGTATCTTTCTCTGTTCAATCAACGACGACACGAAGTGGAGAGAATGTTATATATATATATAGCAGCAGCAGCAGACTGTTAGAGGACGACGGAGACCACCACCGAGATGATCACCGTGTGCTGTTGCTGCTGGCTGTTGGCTATCTCGGCTGTCGCATCGCGAATCGAATAAAAGCCTCGCCTAGATGGGGCTTTTTCAGGCTTTACAAGTATAGGGGGAAGG